GATGTACTCAGGAATTCCTTGAAAGCCCAACCAGGAGGCCCCAAGGGTGAGCAGGCGCGAGCCCTCGCTCGTGTACGCCACGATGATGGCAGTGAGAAGGAACCAGAAGAGGAAGAGAATCGAAATTCTCCCTCTGCTCCCCAGCAGCTCCGTAGCTACACTGAGAAATCCCGTGCAATCATCGCCGTCAAGCTTCCGCTGCCTGGGGAGAGAAGTCAAGGGAGAGAGCGAGGAAGGGAAGGAGAGAGAACTCAAGGGAGAGAGCGAGGAAGGGAAGGAGAGAGGCGACGAGGGAGAGAGCTAAGAAAGGAGGCAGGCAGGCAGGCAGGCAGGCATGAATGCATGGAGCACAAAGATCGGCAGGCAGCAAAAGTCAAAAACGCTGTTGACCTGGCAATCCAAGTTGCTTGGAGGGTGATGAGAGAGCTGACGTACGTGAACAACCAGCAGCCGAACAAACAAGCTTGAGATGGGAGGTAGCCGGCTGCTGCTGTCTCTGCTGGGAGGGCGAGCATCCCCGCTCCTATCGCCGTCCCCGCGAAGAGCAAGGCTCCCCCCATCACGCTCCCGGCGCTGGTCTCGGTGCTAGCCTCCACCATGACTTGCTTGCCATCGGTCTCAACAGCATCTCTGCTCTCAGTCAGCTCTGACTTCATCCTGCATGGCAACCATCTTTGGTCATGCTGCTGGTGGTTCAACCTTGGCCTGCTTTCAAGTGAACACAAGGCCAATCTTCCATGCTGGACTCACCGCGAAGCTGGCAGCCGGGTCCATGGTAGATTCGCATGTGGAGCATGTATTTTCAGCGAGCCAGGAGGGAAGAGGAGAGGAGAATGAAAGGCTGAGCAGAGCCCAACAAAGCAGAAAGAACAAACGAGTGGGAAACCACTGCCGGGCATTGCGAGACAGGAACTGACGAGGAATGAAAATGAATCAGCTACTCTGTGTCAACCTGATGCCAACAATGTGAGCATGGGAGAAAGAACAGCTCCTATCTGTCCCTCACCTCCGATCGCCATCGTATCTCCCCGCCTCTCCCTTGCCACTCTTCCGACTTGGTTGAGATCGCTTATGAGTACTTTTTTTTTCTTTTACAGTTGCGGAAGTTTTTCAGACTGAGATTTCACGGTGCACAAGTTCAGTAACGGTTACTGACAACTCCAGGCGAGTCGCCCAGTGGAGTCTGGGCTGGGCACGTCACGGCGCCCGGTGCGGCCATCACCCTGCCAGGCTGCCGGCGCGGCTGTCGGATCCGATCACTCGGATCATCACCTGAGAAGTTAATCTGTCTAGGCTCACCGCCAGCGCCGCCGGGCCGGTCGGGGCCGACGGTCAGGCCCGGCCAGATCCGATCCGATGATCATGCATGACTGCCAGTGTGACTGACTGTGAATGTACACTGCCAGCTGTGACTCCGACTCACTTCGGACGGCAACTCAGAATTCCGAAGCAGTTCCTAATCCGCCGACCGTGAGTCGGGCGGCCGGGGCCCGGCGGGCCCGTCACGGTCCGGTCTTCCGAATGTCGGACCTGGTTTGACCCGACCCGGTGCGTACTGAGGAGACCGTCACCGTGCCCCGGGGAGTTTCGGAAATAAAAAAAAACTCAACTTTTCAAAAACAATGGAGTAAACTGAAAGGGGGTGGGAGGGAGAGGGGAGGGGTGGGTGAGACTACCCGTGGAAATATCGCAAAGACCCTTTTGGAACGGGGTGGTGATCGGGGATTTACATGGTGGGGTTACTCTAGGAGTAGAGTTGCGGAAAGAAGACACGAGCCTCATGGGTAGGGTGGTTCACTTGGGAGATATGAAGATGGGTGGGGTGAATTTGAAACAGAAATACAGGGGTACAGGGGTGGATAAGAATGGGGTCCTCACCAACGTCTGCCTTTGAAAGGGGTGGGTTCTAAATCACTCTGAAGTAGGGGTAGGGTGGTCGGTTGCTGACAACCCCCAACCTGATCGTATACGAAGGATCTTTTAATGCTACAAAATGCACTGGCAAGTGTGCCGGGGGGGGGGTAGGGGTGGGGTCAAGGGGGTCGGGGGTGGCATGCTGAGATGTTGCGCCCCCCAGAGGAGGCGGAACTCCCTAGGGGGGTAGGGGTCCGGTGATGTGGAACGTACAATGGACTACCGGTCCGCCTCGTCAGGCCCCGACCGGCTGTTCGAAACCAGAGTAGGTTTACAGTGACACCGGTAGTCTTCCGGTGTCAATGAGGGGTGTTCAAGGTAGTCCGAGTGGTTCATAGACCCTGGCAACTAGTGTACCAGTAGTATATGTCCATCCAATAGGTGGGGTGGGGTAGTGGATAGAACTACATCAGGGGGGTGCGGTGGTCGTTCGAGTAGATGAAGGGTCTTTAGGAGGGGTGGTCAGCTCTGGTCACTACCCACCCAACTTGCTCCAGGCTGTAGCGCTAGGGTATTTTGGTACTACGAAAGGGCTGGGGTGGGTGGGGTCACCAGGTGTGTTACCAATGGCATTCAGGGCGACTCAGACTCGAGATGAGGGTGAGGGAGAATGACGAAGATGGCGAGAGAGGAGACGATGAGAAGGAGGAGGATACAGCTTGTTGGTTGAGAGACGGAGAGATTGGGAGATCATAGGTCAATCGAATTGAGGGAACTTTACATCCATTGGAGCAGGTGCAAGACTGGATTCAAAAACATCGTATGCCATTTCAATGAGATCACTACGATCGCCATTCGATGTTGTAGCTAGAAACATACATTGTGGCTGGATCTTCTCCCTATTGCAGTGATGGGGATTGTTGAATTCCTCATTCGTGCGTGAAAGAGAGATGAAGAAAATGAAAAAACGCGAGGTATTGTCGTTGCTCTGCATCTTGCTTGTACACAAATCCCTGCAACAGAGTGACTGCAACAGCAAGAGAACTGATACCAGCTGTACCAATCTTGGCTGTACATGGGTTGAAGGCAATATTCCCCCCTGTATCGATTCAACCACTCCACAGACTACCCCTTCACCTGACTCCTCTTCGTCAAAGCACAACCATTCTTTGAATTCAACAAATTTGGCTGCAGCAGATCCATGCGGTCCAGGCTTCTATGGAGAGGACGGTGGTCCATGCTATCCTTGCGAGGTAGGAACGTACAAGTCGGTCTTCGGGTCTCAGAACTGTAGCGTGTGTCAGATGAATCAAACTACAATTAACGTTTCAGCAACGAATGTATCTTTATGTGTGTGTATGAAAGGATTCTTTCGAACAGAGGATAATCTCTGCGAATTGTGTCCAGCTGGAAAGTACAAGAATGCATCAGGAAATTTCCCGTGCTTTGACTGTCCAGGAAATTCTACTTCTTTTGGCAGCCGAGACAATATCAGTACGTGCGAATGCACAAAATATTTTAGTGGACAAAATGGTGGATATTGCACAAAGTGCAAATACGAGAAAGCAGAAGATGCTAAGGGGTCGGATCCTTGTCCTGCTTGCTACCCGAATGCAATCCAAATCACACGGGGAGACAACCAGTCGATTTGCATCTGCAAGGAAGGCTACCATGGTCAAGATGGAGTGGGTTGTAAGAAGTGTCCCGAGGGAACATACAAGTCAGTCACAGGCAATGCCTCTTGCTCTCAATGCCCGAAGTATGCTACATCGGACCCTGCCAGCACAGGTATCCTTGACTGTAGTTGTGACAAGGGGTATACCGGAAATGGCTCCGTAGCCTGCGAAGCATGTCCTGCAGGCACTTACAAAGATGCCGTAGGCTCAGGACCTTGTCTCAACTGTACGTTCGCGTCGGTATCAGACAGCGGGAGTGCTCGATGTCAATGCATTGAAGGATACACCAGCACAGAGTCAAAAACTTGCCAAATGTGTGAGAGTGGAAAGTACAAGAGCCAAGTCAGTAACCGCAAGTGCAGTGATTGTCCTAGTCATTCCACGTCTCCTGTTGGAAGCTCTCTCAAGTCAAATTGTTCTTGTCTCGCCGGATACGCATACGTGGATGGCAAGGACTGTAAAGCTTGTTCTCCAGGCACGTACAAGGCCGATCAAGGCAACGGGCAGTGCTTGCCTTGTCCTCAAAACCAGAGCTCTAATTCCGCTTCGACTTCCTGCACCTGCAAGAAAGGATACACTAAGGTGAACAACGAGTCTCTCTGCTTGCCCTGTGATGTTGGTAAGTACAAAGCAACCTTGGGTACAGACTCTTGCACTGAGTGCCCGGTGAATTCAACTACGGCTGCTGAAGGCAGCTCTGAAGTGAATCAGTGCATTTGTAGCAATGGATACACCATCAGTGCAAACAAGTGCATGAAGTGCAACCAAGATGAATACATCTCGAATGGCTCATGCTTCTCTTGCCCTGCTAACACCTTCAGCTCAGGTCTGACCATCGGAGTGAAGAGTTGCACATGCCCCGCTGGCTACTTCATTTCAAATTATTCAAATGTAACAAATTCATTCAATTGTACATCATGTCCATCTGGAACTTACAATGATATGAGCGGACAGACGCACTGTCAGGCTTGCTTTGAGCATGCTACCTCCTACCTGGGTAGTGTGAACATCAGCTTCTGTCAGTGCGGCAGGGGGTTTGACTATTCCAATTTCACGTGCTCGCCGTGTGCGGTTGGGAAGTACAAAGATAAAGTTGGTAACGTGCAATGCAGCTCATGTCCAGAGAACAAGACTTCTCTGAAAGCCAGCACCAACATATCAGAGTGTATCTGCAAAGCAGGATATTCGCCAGAGGCCTTGGGATCCTGCATAGCATGTCCGGAGGGAAAATACAAGAGTGATCCGGGCCCTTCTGCATGTGAGCCTTGCCCATACAATTCCATCGCTCCGACAGCGAGTGATAAGTGCAGCCGATGTGCGAAAGGAACATATCGTGAGTTTCCAACGTCTCAAGTTTGCAAACCTTGCGGAGGGTCCAATGCGATTGCTTGTTTGTTCGACATTACGGGTGTTCAGCCACAATCTTGCTCAACATCTGGAGGTATCAAAATCCTTTTCAATGTTCTTGGTCTTGCAAAATCACAAAAGGTGGAATGGGTACAGTTCCCCCCTAACAATTCACAACCGGTTCCTGTAAAAAAGATGTCAAAAACTCTTTTGTCTGCCGAATGTCCTGCAACTTCATTCCAGGGCACCGATTTCGGTTTCTTGTTGGACTCAAAATTCCAGCGCCTCGCTAAGTTTTCATTCACATACAATTCTCCTATTCCTATCGTCTCTCCTTCAGCTGTCTTGACGTCGTCCCAAGAACAGCTCAATGTCACCTTCTTCTCCTGGCCTTCAGGATTTCCGTCACGATGTTCCATTTACATCGGAACCCGCAATCTGTGGAATTACTCTGGTTTTGTCGAAACGTCGAACTCTCTCTTCGTTTATGGAAGGACGCCTGCTATAAGCACTGCTCACACGCGATCCATCTTCTTTGAATGCGATGGTAAATATGATCCCACAGGAGGATACTTGACCGTCCTGGCATCGCCAGTGTTGCAAGATTTGAAATTCGGCAATGCAGATTGCAGCATTGTGAAGAGCTGCACGTTGCAAGCTGTTCTAAGGAATATACCTTCCTCTTTCAATCAGCAGAGTGGCTTGGTTGTGGTAATTTATGGTCCTGGCGAGGAAATTCTGTTTTCCAACGCCCGTGGAAATTTGCACCTCAGGTAATATAGGAATGTCTGCTATGAAGCTGACATGTGTGTTTCGATGAAGGTCTTGTCTTCTGACTCAGAAAAGCTAGCCATTGAGATCTTGATTCCTCCTTTGCTCAGGGCCGTGCAGACCAAGATCAGGATCGCCAGCAATGCTTCTGCCAACCTTGGCTTGCAAAGCTTCGATTTCGAGAGGAATTTCTCTATCCCGCAGCCGGAGGCTCAAGTCTCATCCATCTCACCGTCTGAGCTGCCGTACAGCAAGTCGTCCAAGGTCAAAATGCACTTGACAGGCTTCCCTGTCTTGTCCAATGCTGGAGATTTGCAACTGAAAGTAGGAAGCAACTCGTTCTCTGTGACTGAGATTGTTTTCTCCGATATCTTTGGTGAGTCATGGACCGTCAGTTCACTTCCAATTAGTTTTGACCACTGTTCCGCAGGCAGTTCGGTTGTCGCGGTAGTATCGAGCAACATCCCAACATTGGAGACTTTGACAGTGTCTCACAGCGACAAATCAGCGAGCATCGATGTATTGTTCTTCTCTGAAACAACAACGGCTGTATGCTTGAAAGGATGCATCGCTTCCGTGACAACGGCCAACGTCATTGAGATCCAACTCGCCGGATTCCCCCCGTCGCTCGCAGCTTCAAGTTTCAGCTTTACCTTTGGAAACACTTCGACAGACGTCAAGGAGCTGGTGGCCGCCGGTCAGAAATACCTCGTGAAGCTCGAGGTCCCTTCGCTCGCCCCGCAGTCGCAGCCGCGTCAGACTTATTTCTTGAGAGCAGCAGTCAAGCAAGACGCAAGCATCGCAGGTTTTGCTAACTTCACTCTCGTCCGATCGCCTCGGTTGACCGCCGCGACCTTCAACGGTTTCGGGTCGCATGTCAACCTTGACTTTGATCAGAACACAAACGCGCCGTTGGGCCAAGTCAATTGCACGTCAGTGGTGGCAGCAACCAACTTGTCTTCCCTCGGTCACGGATATCAGTGTTACTGGCTCAGCCCCAACCAGCTCAAGGTCATCCTCGGAGGGGACGCCTCGCTCCTGCCCACAGACACTCTCACCTTCATCGGGCGCGTGAGCGACTTCGCCGGCATCTCCAGCACCGATGGGGTTGAACAGTCAGTTGTTGTGGGTGTTCCGAGCTCTTTGCCGACTCCGAAGATCACTTTGAGTGGACCGAACCAGGTCTCGTACTGTGAGGAGGCGGTGCTGCTAGCAAACGTGGACTCCCCTCGGAAGGCAGCATTCAGCTGGACTGTTGTGAACGATGTTGCCCTCAACAGCCTTGTAGCGAATGTTTCCGGTCCGGTCTTGACTTTGACCCCCGCCATGCTGCAAACGGGGATGACTTACAACCTCTCTGTTTCGGTCTTGACCTTTGTTGGGGCATCTGCGACCTCTTCGATTCAGAGTCTGTTCGTGAGCGCCAACCCGATCCCAACGCTCTTCATCGTCGCTCCTCCCTCCCCGTACGTTCGGCCCAACTCAATCTTCTTTGCCTCCCAGGCGACTTTCTCCCCGTGTGACACCAGCAAGGGAAAGCTCGACCTCTCTTGGGAGATCTCTCTTGCTGGTACGAGCATCCTTGCAGGAGAAGGTCCGTTCTTCGAAGTCAAAACCACTGACCTTGTCCCCGGCACCCAGTACACCTGCATATTGACTGGATACACTGCCCAGGGAGACATCTTGACGACTCAGGTTCCAGTGAGCATCCGGTATGCAGGGCCGAACGCCAAGGTTGAGGGAGGTAACCGAACGATCTCGCTGAAAGACGACGTGACTCTCAACGCCTCGACGTCTCAAGATTTGGACACATGCAAAGGAGTCGTCCAAAACCAATCCTGCTCTTCATATCCTCTTGCCTTCCAGTGGTCATGCTACCTATGTGGCAATCCCTGTAGGTCAGTCAACGGCACGCTTGTCGAGCTGCCGGCATTGCCTGCGTTTGTGTACAACTTCCAGAACCTGGACTTGTCGGCATGCAGCGTCGTCCAGGCGCAAGTGCAGGTGTCGTCCGGGTCACAGATCGATGTCGCTTCCGTGTACCTGAACGTGACGAGCGCGCTGGTTCCAGGAGCACAGATCCGGGTCGTGAGCGAGGACACTTTCATGGTCTCGCTGAAGGGGTCGTGCAGCCTCGCGTGCTCGCAGTACCGGTGGTCGATCTCTGACTCCAAGGGCAACGTCCTGGTGGGGTACTCATCTGCAGCTGAGAATCCGAACATTCCAGCTGGGATCAACGCGATGGAACTGCTGGTCTACCGCTCCTTCTTCACAGCGGGCACGTACACAATCCAGCTCTTGGCCACGAGCGGTGAGATCTCGGGGAGCGCGACCAAGTCGCTGTACATCTCCCTCCCTCCGTCCGGGGGCCAGTGCACTGTCTCGCCGACGACAGGAGCTGCACTGACCGACACCTTCACGTGCTCGTGTGAGTACTGGACATCGGCCGCCATGCCTCTCTCCTACGTGTTTGCCATCAGCCCCAACGGTCAAGGTTCCCAGGTGTCGTTGAGCGCTCCGTCCAGCTTGACCTCCTACTCCTTCTCGCTTCCAGCTGGAGTCTACCTGGTCCATGCGCAGGTCATAGACAGCGACGGAAACGTGGCGGTGTCCCAGTCAACTTCCATCAAGGCCGTGGAAGTTGCTGTGGTTGTCAATGCTTCCTCCCTTAGCGGCTCTCAGCTCGGTGACGTCAGCACCGTCATCAACAACATGAACAATCTCGGGAGCGTCTCGCAGATCCTGCAGCTGAGCTCGGGATTCGCAAGCAGCCTGGCAGGAGGGGGAGGAGCAAGGAGGAGGCTGCTAGCGTCGTCCCTCGCATACAGGATGAGGATGCGAAGTCTCCTGCTTCACTCCATGGCGAAAGGCTCCGTGCAATCTTCCATGAACGGGAGGACTGCCACGTCCGCCCTGTCCACGAGCTTCAAGCTGAGCGATCAGCCCTCGGAGGTTGACGTCTCGGCCCTGTCGGACTCAAGTCAGGTCGTCGGCTCCTGCGCGAGCTTCCTCAAGGCTAGCGACTTGCGGCAGGGGTCGTTTGCCAGCCTCTTTGCGACTGAGGACAAGATCTTGCAGGCGTCGAAGAGTTTCAACGGAACTCTCAAGGAAGTCACAATGCTAACTGTCGTCAAAGTGCTCCTGCAGGCCAGCGACGTCTACCTGACGTCGATGGTGCCGTCAGAGCAGCCAGTCTCCTTCTCTTCCTCCAACATGAAGATGATGACCCTCCGGCTCAGCCCCGACCTGCAGCTCTACAACTTCTCCACCTGGACTTACTCGTTCGACCTGTCGTTTGCCAAACCCGATGGCGAGCTCCTGCTTCAGAGCGGAGACCTTGGGCTGTACGTGTTGGAGATGTACTCGTTCTGGAGCATGGACCAGCTGCATGCTCTGCAGTACATTCATGTCTCTCAGAGGCCCATCCTACTCCATCCCCTCAACCCAAGTCAACCCTCGGCAACCTCTGCCTTTCAATGCTTGCCCAAGGGCTCTCTCTGCCTCAAGTTGAGACTTTCTTTCCCTCGGGTGCAAGTCAACGGTACCGGCAACTACCTTGTCGACCTCAGACTTCAGCTTGCGTGCGTCTTGTGGACCACCGACGTCAGCTCCTGGTCCTTCGATGCCTGCGAGCTGTCATCCCTGAAGGAGGAGAACCAGACGTTTCTCTCTGCTACCTGTGCATGCTCCAGGTCCGGCACCCTTGTCGTGGTGCAGAACCTAAGGCATTCGGAGATCAACCCGGCGCTGGGGCTGATGCCGAAGAAGAGGCAGGTTGGAGAATGGCCCGTCGTGACCACCTCACTCTTCGCACTGCTCTCCTTCTTCCTTGTCGCGCTTGTGATGTTCAGGAACAACAGCCTGAACAGCTTCTTGGACGAGCGGAATGAGCCCAGCAACGGGATTCAGCATGAGTTTCAGACGCTCATCGGAGATGTAGTGTTCGGAACCCTCGGCAACGAGGAGAAGAAACAGATTCCGAGCATGACCACCTCACACTACAAGAAGGAGTACTCGAGGTTGCACGACGACTACTTGGACGACATCTGTCAGAGCAAGAACTTTTATCACTCCATCTGGTTCAAGGAGGGAGTCTTTTGTAAGACCCTTAGGAAGTTCGACTCAAAGGGCATTAGGAGGAAGAAGTGCAAGGTGCCTGACACGTCTTACAAGCTGACTTGAGCCCGAGAGTCTGGGCGAACCCCATCCGATCAACTTGATGTTTCTGCAACTAGCTCTATATTTTCCTTGCTTTCTCTCTTTTCTTTGGTTTTCTGTTACGTATACACCAGAAACTCTCATCCTTGTTCCTTTATAAGCACAACAGAACTGTCATGGCCTGACGTTCATCTACTTGGCGTTAGCTTTCCCCGTCTTGGTCTTTCGCTTCTTCACTGCCTTGGGCATCTGCTCCCCGTCACTTGAGCGAGCAGCACTTCATTGTTACCTTTGCTTTCCTCGCCTCTGCCTTCTCCGCTTTCACCAGCTTCTTCCACTCCGCCTTGGACATGGTCGATTTTCTTGCGAGCGTTGGATCCTTTGGCCTGCCAGACCCCTCGTCCCCCTCGTCCTCCCCCTCCCCCTCCCCGTCCTCCTCGTCCTCGTCCTCGTCCTCGTCCTCGTCCTCGTCCTCCTCCTCTTCGCTGTCGGAGTGACTTACTGCCTTCACCCTCGTCTGGCTGGAGGTGATGGAGGACTGCGACAACTTGCTCGCCTTTGCCCCTCCCCGTTCCTCCTCCTCCTCCTCCTCCTCCTCCTCCTCCTCCTCTAGCCCGTCGAAGTCCTTCTTCCTGCTCTGCGAGCTCTTGTCGTTCTTGTGGCTGAACACATTCCTCACGCTCTTCTTCTCCTCCACCTCATCGCCCTCATCCTCCATCATCCCCACGGTCCCGTAGAACCCTGACACCCCGACGTCAGCAGGACCTTTCCCAGCTCGCGCCCTCGAGCTGCTCACCTGGTCGGTCAGGGATCGGCTCCAAGTTGCCGTCGTCGTCGATCAGCTCGTCGTCTAGCTCGTCGTCCTCGAACGTCCCTCGTTGCGCTTCCAGTAGCGCCAGGCTGGAGGTCATGCCGGTGACGGTGCCGTAGTATAGCTTCTTGTCTCCTTCCTCCAGCCGCTGCTTTTCTCTCTGCGGGGATCGGACAGTGAGAAGAGAGAGAGAGAGGCGGGGGGCGTCGCAGCCGATGTGTAGCATGATGGTGGAAGAAGAGCGGAGAGCGGAGAGACGGGGGAGGAGCTGAAGGTTGATAACCCTGGAGGAGGGAGGAGGGAGGAGGGAGGAGGGAGGAGGGAGGAGGGAGGAGGGAGGAGGGAGGGGCGAGGTGAGAAAGAATGATGGGAGGAAGGAACGATAGGAGTAGGAACTAGGACAAGGCAGGAGCAAGGAGGGAGGTGAGAGGAGGGAAGAGGCAGGAGGAAGGAGGAGAGTGGAGAAAAGGAAAGAGACGTCTGATAAAGAAGAGGATCACCAGGAAATGCTTCTCCTCGATCTGTGAGAGATTCTGCGGGATGAACGCCTGCTGGAAAACTGCCGCCTCCACCTCGTCCTCAGCTGTGATGGTCTGCTCGACGACGCGGCTCTGGAGCTGCATCAAGTATTTCTCAGCTTCCTCCACTTTGTCCCCTATGCTCTCGTCCACGCAGAAGTCGAAGAGCTGCCGGACCGTCATGGTGTTGACGCCCTTCTTGTGGAAAAAGTCGTTGACGTTCGCCGCGTCCCTGCGGAGGAACTCGAGGGCGTTGGGGTGATCAAGGTCGACGGCCTGAGAGACGTCGATGATGTAGAGGGTGCCATGCAAGTAGAGCATGTTGTACTCTGACAGGTCTCCGTGCACGAGTTTGCATCGCTGGTACATCATGCGCATGTACATGACGCAGTCGAAGTAAGCCTTGCACATCTTGTCGTCACTGAGCTGCACGTCCTTGAGCCTTCTTGCAGCCTTGCCGTTCTTGCCTGCCAGCAGCACGTCAGTCATGCAGGGAGGGCAGGGAGTCAGCGCACAGACCGATGAACTCCATGAGGAGGAGGTGAAGTCGGAGGAGGAGAGGTGTCGGGCAGGGAATGCCAGCTGCTTGCATCCTGCTGAGGTTGCGGAACTCCTTCTCAGCCCACATCTTCACCATCTTCCTCGGGTTGTGCTTGCTGTAGCCGTTCCTGAAGCGATAGTCGCCGCTGACGTACTTGTCTCGGTCCTTGAAGACCAGGATGCTGGTTTTGTAGACCTTGATCGCCAGCTCGCCCTCACTCCCATCAAGACTTGTGATGTCCTTCACTCCATGCGCGTGCAGGAACTCAGGCGAGGTGGTCGCATAGTACACGTTCGCCTCCTTCCCTGTGCTGATGCAACCGTGGATGCTGTGAAGAGTCTCCTTGTTCAAGAGCTTGTACAGCACCATCCTCGTCCTCGGGTCCAGCACTTGGTCGGTCGTCGCACGGTCAGCCTTGTCGGTCGTCCTGCCTTGTCTCTCGCTCTTGCTCTCTCCCTCGAACACGCCTCTCTGCACGCTGTCCTCTAGCTCTTGCAGCCTCTTCTCGTTCATCGTAGCCGTACAAATCTTCCTCTCAACCTTAGCATGCCGCACTGACGCAGGTTGAAACTTCTTGATAATGGTCGCCTGATCAATGCCGGACGAGTCGCCCAGCTCCTTCTTCTGCCCCTTCTGCTGCTTGAACTTCGCCTGCCAACGTCCCCTCAACTTCCCACCTCCGTCACCTCAAACCCTACCATGATCACTGCATGTTGACTGGCGGCTGTGTTGGGCCTGTTCCCAGCCACCTCCGCCTTGAACGTCTTAGTGAAGTTTCCGCTAACTCCCTGCGCCATTGGTGAGAAGCGCGTCTGACTTGACCTACTTTTACCTGATGCCCGTCAAACCACATGAGGTCGTCTTCGTAGAAATCCTCTTCCTCCTCCTCTTCCTCCTCTCCTGCTTCTCCTCCCCTCTCCTCGTCTTCCCGCTCGTCTGCATGCGCAACTCTCGTCTGCAACGAGAGCTCGTGTACGTCCTGCACGATGTCTTGTGGCTCAGCAAACTTCTTCATCTCCTCCTGCGACATCTTCACGACCATCGCTCCTCAACTCAACGAGAACGCACAGCTTGTATGGAGGAGTGAGACAAGATGGGAGCCGAAGAAGTTTCGTCGGCATCTTCGAACTGAGACGACCTCATCTCAACCAGGAGATGCTAACAACAACAAACATTAGCTCCTCCGACAACAACAGGTGGGCGCAGAAATCTATCCCCTTCACCATTGCCATGCTCTGCCCCTTTCCGTCATATTGCATTGTTGACTCCTACACCACCAGGCCTTCACCCTGTACCCCTTCCTCTCCTCCCGCTACCCTCTTCCCCTCTTCCCCCTCCTCGTCTCCTCCTCCTCGTCTCCTCCTCCTCATCTCCTCTTCCTCCTCCTCCTCTCCTCCTTCTCTCCTCCTCCTCCTCGTCCTCGTCGTCCTCGTCGTCTACTCCTCCACGCTCCGTTCCGCACGTGCATTGTCATTGCAATCGGCTCTGGGGCGAGCGCGAGTGATAAAAAGATATTTGCATGCCCGGCGTTGCCTTTCATACCCTTTAAGCGAGATCATAGTTATTTTAGGTTGATTCGAGCAAATACCACTAATTTAAGTAAGAAGTGAGCTAAATTAAGTGAAAAGTGGGTGTTGACTGGTGCTGTTCACTGAAGCGGCGCCATGGAAGAGGCTCCAGTGATGGTAGAAGCCGACGATGGCAGCATAGAAGCCGCTGTAGCGATGCCTTCATGTTCTCTTCCTCCCAGACAGCCCTCCTCCTCCTCCTCTCTCCCTCCTGCTTCCTCCAACCCCTCCCTCCCTGCCTCATTGCCGACAATGCCTGCAGCTGTGCTCTGCCATCCCTGGGGAAGGCTAGGAGGTTGCATGGACGATCACGTCATCCTCTCTGTGAGGAACGCGCTCGTAGAGCAGGGCTTCCTCGTCTGCCGCTTCAACTTCAGAGGGGTCGGGCAGTCCAGCGGATCAGCCTCGTTCACCGGTGTATCCGAGAGGCAGAACGTGTTGAGCATATGTAAGTTCCTGCTCGATGGAGCTCCCGTAGCAGGACGCAAGTTGGCCAAGGTTGAGAAGATCGTCCTCGTGGGCTACTCCTACGGATCTGTGATAGCCTGCAGCGTGGTGGACAAGATGGAGGAGATCGTGGGGGCGGTTGCCATCAGTTACCCTCTGCGATACACGTGGGCGTTGGTATGCTGGAAATCGAGCAAGTACTGGGATAAGTTTGCGTCTTCCAAGAAGAAGAAGCTGTTCCTGTACGGCACAGAGGACGATTTCACAGGGAAAGATCAGCTGCATGCTGCCTTCATGAAGTTGGGTCAGCCGGCGGAGGAAGGATGCTATGAAGGGGTGAACCACTTCTGGGTACGAGGGAAGCAGCAGCTTACGAGTAGGATCAGCGAGTGGGTAAGTGAGGTTGTAAACTAGTAGGACACTTAGAGTTTCTTCCTTGCTTGACTTGAGACCAAGTTGTTGGGTTCGCGTGCAAGAACTCTGTCGCTCATACCACAAGCATGTGCTCGACCTTCTCCATCCTCGACAAGTTCGATGTGATCTTCCCTGCACGCAACGAGCTCTGTGCAGATGCTGCCTGCTGCTCGAGCTCTGATGCGATGATCCTGCTCTGCTCTTCCCATCCTTGCTGACCGCCTGCGTGAGAGTTATCATCGCCAACTGCCCCATCCATCGCTCAGCTCACCCCCTGAAACTAGCAAGATGGCCTTCATCTTGTGCATGGGATCCTCGACGGTGTTTAGCTCGAAGAGCTGGATGCGAGCAGCGTCGATCTTGACTGCACTAGCGACGTCCTGCGTCAGGGCCTGGGAGAGGCAGGAGGGTCAGTTGAGGGTCGGATGGCAGCTGAATGCCCACCATCTTGAACTCGCTGGCCTTGCCGATCTGAAGGACTCCGATGTCCAAGGGAAGTACCACGAACAAGCCCCTCTGATTCTTGGTGTTGATCTTCAACGGAACCTGAGGCTTAGCAGGCGGAACAACTTTGATCGCCTCAGGTGTAGGTGCAACGCTCTTGTGCTGAGGAGGTTGAGAGACGGCTGGAGCCTGCCGGGGAGGAGAAGCGGCCTGAGGGTTTGCAGGGGGGATGCTTGACACACCGACGACGCCGTTCTGAGGCGCAAGCTTGATGATCCTGTGCCTGTCGAAGATCTTGTCGGAGTAGTTGGAGAAGCAAGCAAGCTTCTTCTGAACATTGTCCACGTATCTCTTCATCTCAACGTTCCTTGAAAGAAAACTGTCGGGGGCCAACCTTAGCACTTGCCCGATGCCCGTAAAGAAGAGCAAATCAGCGATGCAGAGCTCCTGCCCAGCGAAGAAAGGTCCAGGAATCCTAGCATTGATGTGCAAGAACGCTGGTAGAAGATCAGCGACAAACTTCTCTTCCGAGGCCTTCAAAGCCTCAGGCTGAACCGCCTCTACTCCCAAAGCATCGGAGAGGATTTGCTGCACGACAAGAGACATCGAACAACCCCAGAACTCCATCGCCAGATCGCAGATGCCGCGAACGTGTGGCTGAGATGGGTAGTAGGAGTCCAAACGGTGCTTGTCGCATAGATATCTGAGTGCTGCGCAACTTGACCTATACCCCGGTGGTTACTTGAGAATGCCGGGAAACAAAGCGTGAGTTACCATAGGATGAATCCATTGTCATTCATGGCAAACGTCTCAGAATTCTGTGTGATGACACTCAGGAGGACAAAGGGAGAATGACAACGAGGAACTTGCCTGCAAGTGCACGGGCAGCTCGATCTTGTTTGCAATCATTCGTACAACCGTGTGCTCAATCTTGCACTCTTCCATCAGCATCACGAGGCAACCAACCTCTGGTGACTTGAGGTTGCCACTGATCTGAATGGGCAACAAAGGAGTAGGGCTTGCTTGCACAAGTTCGACACGATTCACAGATTGAAGAGATGCGGTCTGTGGAACGACTACCGGTTTTCGGATGGATTGGAGATTGTCGCTCATGGAAGGGACTTCACCGTATCGGATGGACTTCAGAAGATTTGGGTCTTCACTCTGTTGCGACACGTTCTGCACAGCATTGTTGACTGCCTTAGCAACAGCTGCAGAGGCAAGCGAAGACATGCCCTCTTGGTCCATCTCCCCGTTTGCTCCCTGCCCACCGTTGGTAACGGTCATTCCGTTCTGGCCCGTTCCACGGACTGGCAGACTCTGCAAGCTAGCAACTGGATTTGTTGCCACCAATCTGCGGAATGGTTTGTGTACAGTCAATTTCACACAGTTCCTCAGTGGAGAGTCGCTGTGATGGAACGGACTGTTCGGGTCTTTGATGTACTGATCGAACTTTGCGCAAAGCTCCTGGAGACCCATATTATCAATACAACGATGCATTCTTCATGACACAGGAACCTGCGAAGAGGCGTCGCCCTGAGCCATACCCATGTTCATGTTGATGTGGGTGGTGAATCCTAGCTCTTGAGTGTCCTCTTTCCAACGCTCTGACCCAACAGGCTGGCGGAATCGAATCAATGCTCGCGTTGAAAGCAAGAACAAGCCTCGTCCGACATACCTCAAGCCTGTACGGGGGCAAGTCGAAGCATTGATTCAATGCGACAACAATCGCAAGCTCAACGTCGTCAGTCCTTGGCTGCAGACAGGGAAAGTTTAGCTTTCAAAATCGACTTTCACTTGACAAAAAAAAGCAGATAGTTCACCTTGACGTCGATCCAATTTTCGGTGAAGAACAGCGAAAAACCACAATCCAGCTCCTTATACTGGAGGAATATGAATCACCTAGTGAAGGGCAAGGTATCCGGAATTCACCAGCATCCCAGGCTTCTCATAAATGATGTTCACGAAGAGCTTGCCAGAGACTTGAACACTGGGCTTTGCTCGATCCTATAAAACTTTTCTCACTAGTCGATAGTACCGAGGGAAGGCCAACCTGTCTAACTTCAAAAGTCTGGTGCAACTTGAGGCCGGCGTAACTGTCGAGCTTTGCTACATTGAGGTTGACCTCTCCCAAGAAGCTCAGGTCTTCATGGGTAACCTTTGAGTTCCTGGATAATCTCGTATCAGCCAAACCACGAGAAGAATGATAAAGACATCACACCACAAGGAAATCTGTAGGATGCTCGCATGAGGAATCTCCACGGGCAGGGAGATTTCTTCATTGAATTCAGGGTCACAAGTACCACATGACTTCTCGTTTGCTTGAGTAGTTTGGAACGGTCTATCATCCCACCACATTAGCAGAACAACAGTATCATTCCAAACAGTGCTTACGTCACAGCTGGCTTCACCAAGTTGACACGGGCGACAACATTGGGCGGGTTGCTGGGGTCGTCCAATCGCAATCCGTTGGCACTCAGCAACTGAATTCTGAGATGCCCAGAAGTGCTGCTCGCAAACTGTTTTGAAAATTCAATGACATGTTGGCAGTAAGAAAGAATTTCGAGCAATGTTTCTTTCGCAAAACAGAATCTCTCAATAGTCGGGTCTCCCCAACTTTTCGAATGTGATGTATCTCATTGTCTATACACAGCTCATTGTTGTTGTGGAAAAAGACATCATTGAATAACAAGTGAAGAGATGTAAAAATCCCAATTCTTCCTTCCACAAATTTGACCTTACTTATGCTGCTGGTTGCATTACACTCACCTTCATTCTTGCTTTCAATTCATCAAAATTCACAAACAAATCCACTAAGATCTCCACCACTTGCGCATCTCATCGACCTTTTTGCGCTTGATTTCATCCTACTTCACCTCCTTACACATTAGACCCCCGCCAGGCTCTGACTCTGCTTCGATGGGATCTGCATTCTTCTCCTCCCCATACCTTGAGCTCCATTCTTCTCTGCTACCATCTTCTCCTCTGTCTCCTCTGTCTCCTCTGTCTCCTCTGCCTCCTCGTCTCATACTCCATGGGCCAGCCTCAACATTACCTCGTGCTGCGACATGCCGATTGCTGAATCTACGGGTCGTATGCCCTAGAAGGTCCTAGCGAGGTCCTAGTGGGGTGAACTGCATGTATCGTAGGAGGTCTTACATCCCTGTTTTGAATCATGGTCCTAGTATGGTCCTAGATCCCTATGCTGGAGGGCCTAGGGAGAACCACCCATGGTGGTATTGAACTCCCACCCCCCACCCTTCCATGAAAAAGTAAAAAAAATCAGATTTTGACGCTTAACGACTCCCAGGGAGTCCTACACTACTGCACCCACCCCATGAAGACTGAGTCTGGCCACTACCAGGTACCCCCTTACTTCTAGTCTGAAACTGCCTACGAGCCCCGGCACTGTGACCACCCCACCTCCTCATTTTCACTCAGATTTTTTAAAAAGTCATAGTTGGGGGCCAAAAACTCATTCACCCCACCCCCCCGGATTTCCAGAAGATTCGCTAGTGGCATGACCCCTCCCTCCACCCTTCACTGCGGCCTTCACTGAAGCCCATCGGAAGTTCCGGTTGGCAACAACTATTACTTAACTATCATACAGTACTAAGTTAATAGCGTAACTGGCACTGTGATTCTCTGTTACACTGTGGCAATGATGAGAGGTACAACGGCACGGTACGGTCGCCTTTACTCAAAGTTAAGTTAAAAATCAGTACGAGGACAATCAGGCCCTGAGAGTCGAGGAGGCTTGACCCTGACCGTCGGACACTGTCGCACAGGCCAAACGGCGAGAAGAGAAAGACAGCGAGAACCAAACCTAATCATAGTAATCCTGCCGACTGCTGTCCCCCAAAACTTAATTGATACCTTCACTTAACTGCGCGCAGGACAAGCCTGGAGTCCCCCGCGCCGCGCGCCGCCGGCCATGCCAGCCGATCATCGGATGTCGCTGTGGCCGCCCGGCCGCCGACATACCGGGATGCACCCGCGATGATGGCAGCGTAGGACAGGGAGGCCTTGAGCGTGACGAAAGATCCTGGACCGGAATGATGCGTTCAAGTTGGAAGTCGGATCACCTGAAGAAACTTGAAAGGCCTTTGGCGGGACGTGCTGAGCATATGCATTACGATCATCCGATGCCCTCGGATCTTCCGCTGTGTTGCCGCTTCAGTGCAGTTTGCTCCGAGGCCCTCGAGTCCGGTATTCCATCATTGTCAAAAACATGTGACATGCTGAAGTCCAGTCCAGAATTAACCCAGCGCTATTCAGTGTGTTTGATGTGCCCGATTATCGGAGGTGACCTGCAAAGTTAAGTGACTCCGGCCGGCTGAGTGAGTAATGATTCAACACTAGGCTAACTCAGTAAAACTCGAGTTTGCTAGTCACTTCGTGACTAACTACTAGCCAGTGCCGTCGTACTTTGATAAGTTTCAAAGTTTGAATTGAGTCACTGAGGGTGGCACCGGCTGGCGCACGGTATCCGGGCCCGGATGACGAAACTGCGGTGGGCGATGCGGTGGGTTGGAGCAGGCGGGTGGCTCGGAGGGCTGAAGCTGATCCTGAGAGGAGGCGAAATACGTGGAGTATCCAGCAGGTTCATCATCTTTACTCTCACCTCTACTTCCTCCTTTGTACTTGTTTCTTCTGCACTACTTCCTGCAATCTCTCTATTTCCACACACGATTGCTTGCTTTTCCTCAAGTCAAGTATCGCTTCTCATCCTTTTGCAGGAAGTTGATGGGAGGGATCGATAAAGATTTTCCATCATCGACAGGAGCAATCCATCTGTCGAACAGCCTGAACGGAAAGAAGGAAGAGGTTCCCCGCGGGAGGACGCTCACGTGGTACACGTGCGGGCCAACCGTTTACGATCACTCCCACGTTGGGCATGCTCGAGCTTATGTAGCTCTTGACATTGTCAGACGTGTCTTGTTGAGACATGGCTACAGTATCTTCCAGGTGAACAATCACTGCGATGGACTGTCAGTGAATTAATGCTAGGTTATGGGCATGACCGACGTGGATGATAAGATTATCGCCAAGTCAAAAGCTGAGAACTTGGCCGGTGTTGAGGGCTCCATGGCCATAGCAAGGAGATTCGAGCAAGCATTCTTCAACGACATGCAGTCCATGAACATCCTGCCGCCTGACGCGATCACCCGCGTCTCCGAACACATACCTGAGATCGTAAAGTTTATCCGTGACCTTCGAGAGAAAGGATATGCATACGTGGGGGAGAAGAGTGGCACCGTCTGGTTCGATACGACAGCATATGGTTCCAAGTATGCCGTGTTTGAACCGCTTCGAGCTCAAGAGGATGCTTCCAAAGTATGTCTCGATAGTGCTTTCCACTGGCTTCTACTTACAACCGATAGGAGGACCAAGACTCTGAGAAGAAAAGCCCAAGAGACTTCGCGCTATGGAAACCTGTGTGTGGCTATTCCTTGTATATCTATCACGAGATTAAAGTCTCAAGCAGGTGGCAAGCATTTCCGAGACTGGGTGGGAAAGTGAGTTGGGACGAGGACGTCCAGGTTTGGATTGATGCAGTTTTGAGTCGTGTGGTCCTCATAGATGGATAGGCTGGCACATTGAATGCTCCGCTTTTTGTCGCACGATGTTCGGAGAAAAGCCTCCTGCTCCCTATCTTCACTCAGGCGGGCGTGATCTCAAGTTCCCTCATCATGAGAATGAGATTGCGCAGAGCCAGGTTTGTTCTGTCCGTCATGTCCTGGTCTTCTATATCTCATTTTCACTCTGAGCAGGCTTTGCTGAATACAGATAAGTGAGTATAAGCCTTTCGATATCAATACAATAGTGCAATGATTTTTTCACAAAAGATGGGTGTTCCACTGGCTGCATGCTGGACAGCTGACTATCAAGGTTTTAATAACACCTTCTCTTTTTCCTCCTAATATGAAATCTTGAGAGGGGTTGAAAATGTCGAAGTCATTGAAGAACTATACAAGCATACAAGTGCATTTCGATGTCTCTTAGATTCAGATTAATCACTCTTTCGTGATAGGATTTCTTGAAAGCACATTCCTCTCGGACGTTTAGGATATTTTGTTTGTTGCACAAGTGACTGTGACCTTGTCTGGTGTTTTCTAATCTGACTTCAAGACCAGGTACTCAGCAGATGTGTCTTATGGAGAAGACCGTATGGAGGATTCCATAGCATGGGAAAAATCGTTTGCAAACTTTTTCAGAGAGCTTGGACCGCTCGCAGAGTAAGGCCACATTGCAGTAATTCACAACAATCACATCCGGAGCAGGAAGAGATATCCGCACCAAGTATCCAGTGGAATGTTGGATGACTTGAAGTGGGAGGCCAAACATCATGCTCTAAACCAGGCATACCTTCAGTGCCAGATAGAAAGTGAAGTTGTACCGTGTGCCATCTCCAGGGTCTCTGATCTGCTCCTTGCAGTTCGGGCAGCGCTGGAAGACGACGTGGACACTCCTACTGCCATGCGACATTTGAAGTAAGTTGTAACGCTCCTCTCAGAGGCTCTTGTAAAGTTGCAGCTAGAAATCTCATCCGGGACGTGAATGTTTTCCTCCGTGATGAGAAGGACATCCAATCAAAATCGAACCTGTGGCCGTTGCTTTCGAACATCAGCCATTTCATTCAGGTACAGACCGCGCTATGATCGCTGTAACTCAAACTTTTCCTGGCGTGCAGGATTCTCTCGAGGGATGGGGTGTCGACTGCTCAGATTGGATCAAAACAGGAAACACGGAAGTTGTGGCCAATGAAGATGCTGTCCCGGCTTTCGATCAGGTAAACCTTCCCCCCCCCCCTCAATTGCGAATGCTTCTGATTCCTCCTCTTCAGGCAATCGAAGTCCTTCTAGCTGTCCGCAATGAGCTTCGAAGCACTGCGATCAAACACAAGAAGGCAAAAGTGAAGGATGATGGTGCATTGGCAAACGAACTTCTGGGAATTACGGACAAAATTAGAGATTCTTTGTTGCCTGGCATGGGGGTCGAGGTCAAGGATCGCCAAGGGCCGACAGGAGAGGTTGATTCGTTTGAATTCTTCATCTATAGTTTTGAAACTGATCATTTCGTCCATCTGACAGATGGTGCATACGTGGACATTCAATCCTAGGTTGATTTCGTCTCAAAAAGATGGCTCGAAACCGGATCCATAGTGAGTAGCTGCCATGGAAACTCGTTACATTATAGCGGAGAACAGTTGGGTTGAGTGAATGTGTCGACCAATAGTCTACGCAGTTCGCTCAAAATGATTTCAGTGGGACTTTCCCCGGATTCGACAATGAAACATTCACTGTAGCCATAGAAGCGATGTACGCAGGTTGGTTCAGAGGAGGTGCCATCTCACTCTAACTCTTTGCTGTTCACTCCCACCAGCGTGGCGCATCACTTTCCGTTCCTTCATGTGTTGCCGCCACAAACTTTCACACTAATCTAGTTTCTCCTTCACTTTGTGCCACAATCCTGCTACCCCTCAGTTTTGAACCCCTACCTACCACGGAAGTACTACCCTACAAGAGGCACACTACGCCTGAAATTAACACCCCTTCATTGCCCATTCTGAAAGGTCTTCAGACCCCTTTCAAAATACCTTACCTTCAAAAGACCCTTCCGACACCAAGAGAGACCCCTTCATCGATGACCCTACCCACCCAACCATCGTCGGATATTTTTTGATCTGCCAGTCAAATCGACGACCCCCTCCACCCTCTGATTCTGCAGAGTTGTTCGGCATATTTCAACCCTACCCCTACAATATCAACACACCCTACCCCATACCCCATTTCCGCTATACTTTTCACTGTGAGACTTGATAGAATCTCTATGACCCCTACCGTTATCGTGTACCCAGTGTCATACCACCCCACCCTACTCGCTAGCGACTATACCCACACATCGCTCGGCACTTTGGCGCAAGTGTCCATGCGGAGAGTGAGGAGACGCAATCAGCGAACTTGTTGATGCCGGCGCAGAGAGCATCGAGCAGAATCGTGTTGCATGGGGAAGAAAGAAGATGACAGAGGACTGCTGGAATCCAAACCGATCAAGAGAGGGAGAACATTGAAAGGCAAACCGAACCCCCTTCGCTATGGTTGTGCTTCATTCCACAACTTTGATGCCGATGTCACTGCGGTTTCAAATGAGGCCTTTGGTCGTGGCTTTATTGTCAATGTACATGCATATACCAGGAGTTGTCACTACGCCGTGTGACGACTATTGTAATACCATCTCGTTGAAGACTGCTTGTCTTCAATGCATGATCAGTAACACTGTTGCAAACTGTTTTTGCTATTGGAAAGATGCAGGAAAGTCCGGGAATAGTGCTTGTTCCGAAGCAAGTGGTTGCACTTGTCCATCCAATTCAGGTGGATCTTTTTGCGCGTGCAACTCCGGATACGTCAGCAATGGCGGAACGTGTACTGAGGCAGGCTGTGGAAACTTGCTACAATGTCTTCCAACCCAAAGCAGCTGTGCGATTACGAACGCAGATTCATCTTGCAATTGTACAGCAGGTTACACACTATCAGGTACAGCTTGTATTGCTTGTGGATCAGGAACGTATAAGTCGAGTGCGGGCTACCAAGCTTGCACAAGTTGTCCTATAAATTCGATCTCTCAGCCAGCAAGTGTCAGTTTGACCAACTGTTCATGTAATGCTGGATATTATGGGCCATTGGGCGGACCTTGTACTCCATGTGACTCTGGGAAATATAAAAACGAATTGGGTTCAGCAGGTTGTGTGAGTTGCCCAGAAAACTCCTTCTCAGTGTCAGGTTCGAATATCAGCGGCTGCTTATGCAATAAAGGTTACACTGGCTACAATGGAGGCACTTGCCTTGCTTGCCCCCAGGGTACGTATAAAAACACTTCGGGATCTGCACCGTGCTCAAGCTGTCCCGTATTGTCAACATCCAGCGAAGGCAGCGTCAATATTTCCTTGTGCAAGTGTAATTCTGGAGCATATGGTAACGACGGTTCAAGCTGTGTTGCCTGTGAGCCAGGCACGTACAAAGATGCTATTGGCTCCAACAATTGCACCAAATGCCCACAATTCAGTACCTCAAATGCTTCCAGCGTGTCAAAAGATTTGTGCTATTGTGTTGTAGGGTATGAGTATTCCTCAGGATCCTGCACCGCTTGTCCGATGGGAAAATATAAATCGAACATTGGAAATTTTAACTGTAGCAGTTGCCCGGACAATTCCACCACGATCAATGAAGCCAGTCCAGCTGCAAGCAACTGCACTTGCATGGCAGGGTTTTTCGGTCCACAAGGTGGAACATGTCAGCCTTGTCCACCAGGCACTTTTAAAACTACCCCAGGATCACATGCCTGTATGTCTTGCTCAGATTCAGAAATTTTGAATTCCACAGATGGTCAACCAACATGCGAGTGTAATATTGGATATTTTCGAAATCTTTCAGGACTTTGTGACGCCTGCCCGGAAGGATACTATAAGAGTATGGTCGGAAACTATGACTGCACTCCTTGTCCTCCTAACTCAACGTCGTCTAGAGGAAGCAAAGCTTATTCTGATTGTCTCTGTAATTCTGGTTTTACTTCTGTCGAAGGCTTGGAATGCACTCCATGTGCGGCTGGAACATTCAAGAAATTGATTGGATTTTCAACTTGCATACCTTGTCCTTTGAATTCATATTCGTCTGCAGCAAGTATATTATGTCAATGCAACGCGGGATACATTGACAACGGAAACGATAGCTGTATTGCATGCCAAGCAGGGAAATATCGAAGTGCTGATTTGCTAAATTGTACAGATTGCCCTGGAAATCTTACCTCTGATTTGGGAAGCTCGTCTATTGAACAGTGTACTTGTGATTCTGGCTCGTATTACTCCATCGATGGATTCTGTAAATCATGTGAAGCTGGAAAATATAAAGCGTTTCCAGGAAAGGATGACTGCATGACGTGTTCAGCCAATTCAACATCAAATCCAGGAGCCATTGCTTGCGTTTGCAAAGAGGGATATACACCTGTCAATGAACAATGTGTGGCATGTGATACGAACACATACAAAGACATCATCGGAAATCTTTCTTGTAACCTTTGTCCAAACACCATGATCTCAAATTTTGGAAGCATTTCCGTCAACGATTGTCAATGTGCTCCAGGATACACAAGCACACAGAATCAAAACTGCACCAAATGCATAGCAAACACGTACAAGAGCGAGGCAGGGTCGGCCACCTGCACGGCCTGTCCGGGCAACGCCAGCAGCCCGCCAGGCAGCGACGCGGTCGAGGCGTGCAGGTGCAACGCGGGCTACACGGGGCAGGACGGCGGGGAGTGTAGGGCGTGCGAGGCGGGGACGTACAAGAGCGAGGCAGGGTCGGCCAACTGCACGGCCTGTCCGGGCAACGCCAGCAGCCCGCCAGGCAGCGACGCGGTCGAGGCGTGCAGGTGCAACGCGGGCTACACGGGGCAGGACGGCGGGGAGTGTAGGGCGTGCGAGGCGGGGACGTACAAGAGCGAGGCAGGGTCGGCCAACTGCACGGCCTGTCCGGGCAACGCCAGCAGCCCGCCAGGCAGCGACGCGGTCGAGGCGTGCAGGTGCAACGCGGGCTACACGGGGCAGGACGGCGGGGAGTGTAGGGCGTGCGAGGCGGGGACGTACAAGAGCGAGGCAGGGTCGGCCAACTGCACGGCCTGTCCGGGCAACGCCAGCAGCCCGCCAGGCAGCGACGCGGTCGAGGCGTGCAGGTGCAACGCGGGCTACACGGGGCAGGACGGCGGGGAGTGTAGGGCGTGCGAGGCGGGGACGTACAAGAGCGAGGCAGGGTCGGCCACCTGCACGGCCTGTCCGGGCAACGCCAGCAGCCCGCCAGGCAGCGACGCGGTCGAGGCGTGCAGGTGCAACGCGGGCTACACGGGGCAGGACGGCGGGGAGTGTAGGGCGTGCGAGGCGGGGACGTACAAGAGCGAGGCAGGGTCGGCCAACTGCACGGCCTGTCCGGGCAACGCCAGCAGCCCGCCAGGCAGCGACGCGGTCGAGGCGTGCAGGTGCAACGCGGGCTACACGGGGCAGGACGGCGGGGAGTGTAGGGCGTGCGAGGCGGGGACGTACAAGAGCGAGGCAGGGTCGGCCACCTGCACGGCCTGTCCGGGCAACGCCAGCAGCCCGCCAGGCAGCGACGCGGTCGAGGCGTGCAGGTGCAACGCGGGCTACACGGGGCAGGACGGCGGGGAGTGTAGGGCGTGCGAGGCGGGTTTGTTCAAAAATCGAAGTGGTTTTTTCTCGTGCGTCAATTGTTCAGCTGGTTTTTTTTCAACCTCGATTGGTTCTTCATTTTGTTTTGCTTGTGAACCTGGCAAGTATAAACCTGATCCTGGTCCGGGAACTTGCAGTGATTGCTTGGAAAACTTCACCACTGTGTCTGGTGCAACTGGATTGATAAATTGTCAATGTAAAAGGGGATATACGGGTCTGGATGGTGGAGATTTCTGTGTTGCCTGTTCCATTGGACAATACAAAGAAAACACGGGTTCTGGTGCATGCATAATTTGTCCTGTGGGAAAATTCAATATTCAAGAAGCGGCCTCCACGTGCAACCTTTGCCCTATTGCGACATATAAGGATTTCACTGGAGTAGGTCTGTGTGTTGATTGTCCAGGAAATTTTACGAGCAACAAGGGGAGCACCAACATCACAGATTGCAAGTGCATACCTGGATACACTGGTAATGACGGTGAAGTTTGTTATCAGTGTCCCATCGGAACGTATAAAAACATCAGGGGCTCAGCTTCTTGTCAACAATGTGAAGTTGGAACATATCAAACAATGACAGCAATGACTGTATGTTTAAAATGTGATGCTGGAAAATACAAAAATCAAACAGGCAGCGGGCTCTGTGCCGAATGTAATGAAGGAACATTTACAATTCAGAAAGGGCAAACCACCTGTGAAATGTGTCCACCATCAACATACAAAGATTGGATTGGAGCAGGAACGTGCAAAAACTGTCCGCTATCATCTACAACGACAGAAGGAGCAACAACTATCCTAAACTGCGAATGCAACAAAGGATATACAGGAAACAACGGAGAGTTATGTATTGAATGTCAAGAGGGAAAATATAAATCAACAATTGGACCCTTTAACTGTACATCTTGTCCGGGCAACGCCAGCAGCCCGCCAGGCAGCGACGCGGTCGAGGCGTGCAGGTGCAACGCGGGCTACACGGGGCAGGACGGCGGGGAGTGTAGGGCGTGCGAGGCGGGGACGTACAAGAGCGAGGCAGGGTCGGCCACCTGCACGGCCTGTCCGGGCAACGCCAGCAGCCCGCCAGGCAGCGACGCGGTCGAGGCGTGCAGGTGCAACGCGGGCTACACGGGGCAGGACGGCGGGGAGTGTAGGGCGTGCGAGGCGGGGACGTACAAGAGCGAGGCAGGGTCGGCCACCTGCACGGCCTGTCCGGGCAACGCCAGCAGCCCGCCAGGCAGCGACGCGGTCGAGGCGTGCAGGTGCAACGCGGGCTACACGGGGCAGGACGGCGGGGAGTGTAGGGCGTGCGAGGCGGGGACGTACAAGAGCGAGGCAGGGTCGGCCAACTGCACGGCCTGTCCGGGCAACGCCAGCAGCCCGCCAGGCAGCGACGCGGTCGAGGCGTGCAGGTGCAACGCGGGCTACACGGGGCAGGACGGCGGGGAGTGTAGGGCGTGCGAGGCGGGGACGTACAAGAGCGAGGCAGGGTCGGCCACCTGCACGGCCTGTCCGGGCAACGCCAGCAGCCCGCCAGGCAGCGACGCGGTCGAGGCGTGCAGGTGCAACGCGGGCTACACGGGGCAGGACGGCGGGGAGTGTAGGGCGTGCGAGGCGGGGACGTACAAGAGCGAGGCAGGGTCGGCCACCTGCACGGCCTGTCCGGGCAACGCCAGCAGCCCGCCAGGCAGCGACGCGGTCGAGGCGTGCAGGTGCAACGCGGGCTACACGGGGCAGGACGGCGGGGAGTGTAGGGCGTGCGAGGCGGGGACGTACAAGAGCGAGGCAGGGTCGGCCAACTGCACGGCCTGTCCGGGCAACGCCAGCAGCCCGCCAGGCAGCGACGCGGTCGAGGCGTGCAGGTGCAACGCGGGCTACACGGGGCAGGACGGCGGGGAGTGTAGGGCGTGCGAGGCGGGGACGTACAAGAGCGAGGCAGGGTCGGCCAACTGCACGGCCTGTCCGGGCAACGCCAGCAGCCCGCCAGGCAGCGACGCGGTCAAGGCGTGCAGGTGCAACGCGGGCTACACGGGGCAGGACGGCGGGGAGTGTAGGGCGTGCGAGGCGGGGACGTACAAGACTGAGGTTGGTCTTGGCAATTGTCGGAATTGTCCTGTCAATCTTACCAGTTCTCCTGGTAGTGTTTCTGTGAAGGGTTGTTTTTGTGATGTTGGGTGGTTTTCGATTAATGTGTCGGTACAAAACTTTTGTTTTGTTTGTCCGGTGGGTACTTTTTCGAATATTTCTTCTTCGTCTCACTGTTTGGATTGCCTTCCTGGTTCATATTCTTCCACATTCGGTTCGTCCAATTGTAGGTCATGTTTAGCTGGACACTTTCAGGATGAATCTGGCTCAACGTTTTGCAAACGTTGCTCTCACAATCGGACAAGTGGAATTGGAAGTTCATCGTTAGAGCATTGCAAGTGCCTTCCAGGCTTTTCTGATATCAATGGTTCTCATTGCGATCAATGTCCATCGGGAATGTTTCAACCTCACATTGGTGCTTCGCAGTGTATGAGTTGTGATGCTGGATCATTCCAATCGCTTCCTGGACAGACGTACTGTGAATGTTGTCCACCAGGAACTTTCCAAAATTCATCAGGTGGTCATTCCTGCTTGCCGTGTGAGGAGGGAAAATACAACGATAAGAGCAATCAGACATTCTGCCAAAATTGCGCAGCAGGATATTACAAGAATTGGACCGGAGAAGGAGAATGCACTGAATGCAAAGAAAATACAACATCCAAAATCGGGAGCAAAATTGAATCAGATTGCAAATGTAAGCCAGGTTATGAAAGAACAAACAATACATGTCAACAATGCAAAACGAATTATTACAAAAATACGCTTGGAGACACCTTGTGCGAACAATGTCGAGAAAACATGCAAAGCACTCAAGGGAGCGACGCGGTCGAGGCGTGCAGGTGCAACGCGGGCTACACGGGGCAGGACGGCGGGGAGTGTAGGGCGTGCAAGGCGGGGACGTACAAGAGCGAGGCAGGGTCGGCCAACTGCACGGCCTGTCCGGGCAACGCCAGCAGCCCGCCAGGCAGCGACGCGGTCGAGGCGTGCAGGTGCAACGCGGGCTACACGGGGCAGGACGGCGGGGAGTGTAGGGCGTGCGAGGCGGGGACGTACAAGAGCGAGGCAGGGTCGGCCAACTGCACGGCCTGTCCGGGCAACGCCAGCAGCCCGCCAGGCAGCGACGCGGTCGAGGCGTGCAGGTGCAACGCGGGCTACACGGGGCAGGACGGCGGGGAGTGTAGGGCGTGCGAGGCGGGGACGTACAAGAGCGAGGCAGGGTCGGCCACCTGCACGGCCTGTCCGGGCAACGCCAGCAGCCCGCCAGGCAGCGACGCGGTCGATGCGTGCAGGTGCAACGCGGGCTACACGGGGCAGGACGGCGGGGAGTGTAGGGCGTGCGAGGCGGGGACGTACAAGAGCGAGGCAGGGTCGGCCAACTGCACGGCCTGTCCGGGCAACGCCAGCAGCCCGCCAGGCAGCGACGCGGTCGAGGCGTGCAGGTGCAACGCGGGCTACACGGGGCAGGACGGCGGGGAGTGTAGGGCGTGCAAGGCGGGGACGTACAAGAGCGAGGCAGGGTCGGCCACCTGCACGGCCTGTCCGGGCAACGCCAGCAGCCCGCCAGGCAGCGACGCGGTCAAGGCGTGCAGGTGCAACGCGGGCTACACGGGGCAGGACGGCGGGGAGTGTAGGGCGTGCGAGGCGGGGACGTACAAGAGCGAGGCAGGGTCGGCCAACTGCACGGCCTGTCCGGGCAACGCCAGCAGCCCGCCAGGCAGCGACGCGGTCAAGGCGTGCAGGTGCAACGCGGGCTACACGGGGCAGGACGGCGGGGAGTGTAGGGCGTGCGAGGCGGGGACGTACAAGAGCGAGGCAGGGTCGGCCACCTGCACGGCCTGTCCGGGCAACGCCAGCAGCCCGCCAGGCAGCGACGCGGTCAAGGCGTGCAGGTGCAACGCGGGCTACACGGGGCAGGACGGCGGGGAGTGTAGGGCGTGCAAGGCGGGGACGTACAAGAGCGAGGCAGGGTCGGCCACCTGCACGGCCTGTCCGGGCAACGCCAGCAGCCCGCCAGGCAGCGACGCGGTCGAGGCGTGCAGGTGCAACGCGGGCTACACGGGGCAGGACGGCGGGGAGTGTAGGGCGTGCAAGGCGGGGACGTACAAGAGCGAGGCAGGGTCGGCCAACTGCACGGCCTGTCCGGGCAACGCCAGCAGCCCGCCAGGCAGCGACGCGGTCGAGGCGTGCAGATGTAATTTTGGGTTTTTTGGTCAATTCGATTCTGTTTGTACTCCATGTTTTCCCGGTACGTATAAATCTGCTTTGGGATCACAGGCTTGTTCAAATTGTCCATCTCATTCAACAAGTGGCTTGGCCTCCACTAAACGTTCGGATTGTGCTTGTGTTCCTGGATTTTTTTCATCGTCCATTGGCTCAGATCTGACATGCAGTCCTTGTTTTACTGGCACGTACCAAGATAAGTCTGGATATTCATTTTGTTTCACTTGTCCTCACAATTCTTCTTCTTTGGAGGGCAGTTCAAGTCTTGACAAATGTCTCTGCAAGCCCGGATATTTTGGGCCACCTGAAAACTGCATTGAATGTCCTTTTGGTACATTCAAGAATACTTCAGGCTCTTTCGAATGTTTCAATTGTCCTCCGTTCTCATATTCCGATAAGGGTGCAACAGATGTTACAGCGTGCAAATGTAATCTTGGATTCTACAGGGGTGGTAATGATTTGTCATGCATTGCATGCAAAGTTGGAAAATACAAGGACTTTCTTGGTGATCAGAGTTGCACTGCATGTCCAACGTATTCGACCTCTTCGACAGGCAGTGTAAATGCAAAAGATTGTACTTGCATCGAGGGCTATTTTGGACCCCCTGGCGGACCTTGTATTCAGTGTGGTTATGCAAAGTACAGCGATGCTCTGGGATCATCAACCTGTACAAGTTGTCCTGATAATTCGTGGGCTCCGCAAGCAAGTGCACGAAGATCTGCTTGCATGTGTATCGCGGGGTACACTGGTCAAGATGGTGGACCATGTAATGCATGTCCCGAAGGAAAACACAAAGAATCCAATGGCTCAACACCGTGTTCATCATGCAGCCATCTTGCCACAACCATCTGGAATGCTTCGCAAGAGATTTGCCTGTGCAATGCCGGCTACACTGGTTCAAACAACATGTGTATGGCTTGTTCCCCAGGCAAGTACAAAAACACCATAGGATCAGGTGATTGTCTTGCATGTCCTGCTCACACCATCTCGTTGAATGCAAGCAGCGATGTAGCACAATGCATTTGTTCTCCAGGTTACTTCCAGAAGAATGGTCAATGTATGCCATGCAGTTTCGATACGTACAAAGCAGTGGCAGGTAACGGAGAATGTGCCATGTGCCCGGTGAATTCTGGCACATTATCCGACGGAAGTCACTCGATTGACCAATGCTTTTGTAAGCCAGGCTATTTCGGATCGAATGAAGCTTGCTCAGCTTGCCCCGCTGGGACGTATAAGACATTGTTGGGTACTTCAGGGTGTTCGATCTGTGAGAACTTCACAACCTCGAATCCTGGCAGTGTTTCAATCAGTGATTGTGTATGTATAGAAGACTACTTTCTTGAAAACATGCAATGCAAACCGTGTTTACCCGGCAGTTATAAGAATGTAAGTGGAAACGGACCTTGCACTTCTTGTGATAAGTTGTGGTCGGTCAAGTGCTTGCCTGTGATCAAATCGGTCAACCCTCAATTTTGCGAAGCGGAGGGTGGAAGCATGGTGTACTTTGAGCTTAGTTCTGGTGCAAATCAGATCTCTTGGATACGTTTTTCAGAAACCCAGACACGTTCCACTGCAACGTTCTTGAGTCCGACTTTGATTGCTGCGATATGTCCTGCTTCAGATGGAAAATTCGGAGCGACTTTAGGGTTACTTCTTGCTTCAGATCTTCAGCCAATTTCAAGATTTTCATTTTCTTACTTGACTCCAAGGCCAATCGTTTCTCCCCAAAATATCTTGAGAAACGGGACTGTAGTCAATGCAACGTTTTCTTTCTGGCCAGAAGGATTCCCGAAATCGTGCGGATTGTCATTCGGACCAGGATCTGACTGGGATTACCATGTTATGAAAATGGACACAATTTACCGCGCAAGTGGTCTCCTCAGAATTCTCATAAAATCAGCCCAGGCACAGCTCAGCTTCAATTGTAGTGGTCAGTTGATTGATACACGGGTTGTGGTCAACGTTTTTGACAATATGGTAGTTTCTAACATTATCAATCGGAATGGAAAATGTACAATCACAAGCAGATGTAGTCTATCTATCGTTGTCTCCAATCCCTCTCCCATGTTGCAAGCAGGAAACATAGCAGTCAGCATTCACGGCACAAAGTACTCCACCAGCTTTGAAGGCCCTCAATATTCCATCTTGACGCAGGTACGTGCATTTGTTTTCCCTAGATAGCAGATTTTGAATGACTCTTTGTAAAACAGGTACAGGAAGCCCAAAGCGATTATGCAATTGTTACTATCGATATTCCTCCCTTGCTTTCATTCGATACTTTCATCTGTACGATGCATCCCACAAGTTTCTACCAAGATCCAGTCATGGATCAGATCGCTTCATTTAATCTTCCAATTGCAATACCGGCTGCTGAGATTCTGAGCATTTCTCCTTCGTCAGGACCGATTTTGACAGAGACCGTCGTCTTGATCGTACTGAGTTCCTTTCCAATCGCTGCAGACTTCAAAGTGACGGTAGCAGGGAATTTAATGCCCAAACCTGAAGTACAATTTGCAGATGAATCAGGGATATCTTTGAAGGTATCATTGTATTCTGAGCAATCCGGAATTCAAAACGTCATCGTATCATCCTCTGGAATATCGGCAAACACGAGTTTCCTTAGCTTGATGCCTCAATTTAAAGCAAATTGTTTAGGAAATTGTTACATTGTAGACTGGGCTGAGACAGAGCTTCAAGTTGCGGTATATGGCTTTCCCATAGAATTGAACCATTCAATTTGGATTGTACAGGGAACAGAAAAAACAAGATCTTCTGTCTCTGCATCTGTCCCCGACAATGGAGCCAACATACTATATGTACAAGTTTCTTTTTCGGATGCTCTCGAGAATGCCTATGATACAACTTGTTTTCGTGTTTCACAGACTCATTTTGATTACAATGCATTTTTTTGCACTCAGTCTTACAGGAAGCCTCGCATAAGTCGCTTGAATTTCAACAATTTGGGAAACAGCCTGAGCATAACTTTCGATCAGGTTGTGGATATCAGCTCAGAGATTAATGATTGTGCAAAGTATTTCCCAAAGGCTAATCTCACCAGTTTAGGAAAAGGAAGGTTGTGCTCATGGTACGATTCCTCCACGCTTCAGGTTGTATTAGGGAGTGATGCCTCAGTCATGGTATCTCAATCCTTGCTGTTCAATGGAAACCTGAGCATGATGGGAAGGCTCATTAAAAACTCAGAGGGTATGGTTGCTCGTGTTCAGCCTCCTTCTCTTGCCTCCACACCTTCGATCACATTGGACGGTCCCTTCGAGGTTGCCTCTTGTGATTCCGCGACAATAAGAGCGACTTGTAGCTCGTCAAGACCACCCATCTTTTCTTGGAGGATACTGAATTCCGAATTTCACACAGGATTGGTGCAAAACGTGACAGGAGACACAGTAGCTTTGAAGGGTATCTACCTTCAGTTGGGGATCAGTTACCAAATCGTTGTCACAGCTTACACATTTTTGGGGGTGTCTGTAACCAGCAAAGTTCACTTGCTTCAAAGAGCTGCTGAGCCAGTGCCCCTTGTATCTATTGTAATGCCACCTCCACCGTACAAGAGGCCAAATTCCTTCTACGTAACTGCCAAGTCTGAATTTTCTTCCTGTGCTCCAAGCAGAGCGACTCTCAACTATACCTGGTTGCTCTACAATTCACAAAGTTCCAACTCATCGATACAAGCAAAAGGTCCTGAAATGTTGATAAGCACGATGAACCTGATCCCTGGGTCTTCATACACAATATCACTTCTGGTGCAGTCTGCCTTGAGCTCAAGTCTGGTACAGCAGACAATCACCATTGCACGTTCTGGGGTCAAAGCGCTGATAAAGGGAGGAAATCGTACAGCCTACAGAAATCAGGCAGATTTTCTCATAGATGGATCAGCATCGTATGACATGGATTACGTGGGCATAACGGCGGGCTTGAGCTTCGAATGGACATGTGCTGTAGGAAATGGCCCCTGTCGCTATCTAAATGGCTCAAAGTTGATCCTTCCTTACGTGCCATACCTCAACCTCAACCTCTACAGTCTGAATCTTCAAGGCACTAGTGCTTTGCAAATCACATTGATGGTGAGTAAAGGTGCATACTTCGATTCGCAAACAGTCATCTTAGAGCTCTCCGACGCCCCCGTCCTACCAGTTGAGATATCTAGTAGTGTCAACAATCAACTGTGGGTATCTTTGAAGGCAGTGCCAGTGACAAACAACGCCAAGTATTCATGGAATGTCAAAGATTCTGCGAATAACCTCATGAATCAAGTCTTGACCAAAAACAATGCATGCCCAGCCGGTATAGATTCATATGACCTGGTTATCTTGAACCCTTCCAAATTCTTGCCGCGCGGAAAGTATGCAATTTCCGTCGAAATGCGATATGACAATCTGGTTGGAACTGCCTCGATACCTTTCAGAGTGACATGGCCGCCCTCTGGTGGTCAATGTGCGGTCAGTCCTACCTCGGGGGTAGAGCTCGAGCAAGACTTTCAAATCAAGTGTATCTCATGGACCTCCGATGATTTGCCCTTGTCATATCAATACGGCCTTGGTCGGATCGGTTCAGCAGAGATTTCTTGGACGCCTCAATCGTACTTGAACGTACACTCTGCAATCTTGACAAACGGAGATTATGGTATGGTTGCGTCGATCATCGACAATCTTGGAGGAGCTTCTCTGTCGGAAACGACGAACATCAGGGTACGGCAAAAAGAATTTGCAAATGGGACAAACTTTGAGGACGAGCTGTTTGCAAACATTGCGAAGGCGATAGATCAGTTCAACAGCCTTGGATTGCTTGGGCAGAGTTTGCAACTTTCCAATAGTGCCCTTCTCAGTTTGCAGGAAAATCAAAATCGCCGCCTGTTGGCATCGTCCTTGGCTTATCGGATGCGTGTGAGAAACATGCTTCTTGCAAAGATGGCAGGCGGAACAGTCAACGACAAAATGAACACCAGGACGATGTCATCATCCCTGGAGACAGTAAGCAATGCACTGCAACAACCTTCGGAAATCAGCCCGAATGGATGCTCAGACGTGGGACAACTGTTGGGGACCTGTACGACGTTCATGACTGTTGACTTCTTGCGTGGCGATGGGATCTTTGCTTTTCTCTCTTCGTTCGACGCATACCTAATCACAGCCAAGAACTTTGACAAACCTATGAGACAAGCCTCTCTCATCTCGGTGTTGAACAACGTGCTGAATGCTTCCACGTTATTGTCGACCTCGATGGTGCAAACTGAGCAAGCTTTTCATCAGGCCCTTGCCATGTTCACGGTGCAGGTCCAGCGGTGCGGAGTCGACCTGAGCCAAGAAGAAGTCAATCTAATGGAGCAAAGGGTGTCTGTTGATTTCGGGGCTTTCAGGGCCTTGTCAAACCTGAGAAGCCAAGACTTGTCTATCACGCTGGTTCACACGAAGGAGTTCTGGTTCTTGGATGACTTGTACAACCTGGGCTATACTGTTGTGTCAAACCCTTCAGTCTTGTATTACCTCTACTCCCTGCCAGACCTGAAAATGGTGTGGGACTGCAAGGGTTCCGACTCGCCCTGTTTCAGCGTTCAGGTAGATATGAACCGAAGTACAGCTGAACAAGCCCATGATCTCTTGCTCAAGTGTGTGCTGTGGAACGCTCAGAGTGCAGCATGGGACTTCAAGGCCTGCACGTTGGGATCCATCTCTCTACAGGCAGAGTCAGCGACAGCCCAGTGCCTGTGCAACAGCGTGGGCTCAGCCTTGGTCATCCAAGAGAACCTGGACGCCTCCGGATTCTTCAACATCAACAACAAGTTCAACCTGCACCATATTTTTGAGTGGCTGCTCCTCACTATCATCGTTCACTTTTGTGTGGCGACCTTCGTCGTCGTGGTCACCTTTCGTGGAACTCTCAACTCAATCCTCTCGTCCTCGTCCTTGAACACTGGCCGTCCTCACCATCGCAGGGCTTCAGACCGGAAGATGCTCTTCCTCGAGTATGAGATCAAAGGAGAGCTGGGAATGTTGCAACATGTCAAGGAACCAGGAGGGCAGGAAGAGGAGGAGCATAGACGCTCTTCTCCAGCTGAGCACAACTCAGTGAGTTGTACATGCTGCAAACTGAACAGACAGACAGTCAAGTTTTCCACGCAGGATGCTGCGGGGAGCCATGCTGTCTCCTCCTCCCCATCCCAGTGGTTTGAAGAATGCCAGGTCGTCTCGTCTCCTCACACAGTCGTCGAGCGGAGGCAGAGAATGACGCTCAGGTTTAGGAAGAGTCAAGTCGCTGAGCCCGTCATGTTGTCTGAATGATAACCCACTACAACTAGTCTATCAGTGCCTGATTGATCTTGTTGGATGTACTTGACTTACACTTTGATATTGATTAAACGACACAACATACTGCTCTGCGTTTGAGTGACTGAGCTCACCGGGGGCCCTACTGACGGATCGCATGCCAGCCGTGCAAGTCAGATGCGGCGCCGAGTTACTAGTCACTTAATCCTTTTATTGACTGAAAAAGAAAGGCGCGAAAACCGCTACTCCAACCACGATGTAGTACGTGGGACGAAGAGGAGGCCTTCCTAGCCGTCTTGCTAAGGTCCTCTCATGTCTGGATGCTTGGGTTTCACATCATAGCATACAGTCTATCTCTCATGTGCTCCTCCGAATTCTGGTTTCGTGTGCATTAAACTCGGTCTTGAGCAAAAACTGTCTTGTTGCAACTGAGGTTGATATGGTGTCTGCATTACTTTGACACAGTACAAGTCTAACAAACTTGTGCTCCCTCACCTACTGCCCGGCCATCAACCGGGTCTGCCTGGCCGACTGAGTGGTCCAATGGTAGCTGACTCCGTGACAACCAGTTAACATCTCTGGTCATCGGTATTTGCGGTTACACCCAAGTCAGCAATGTCCGGCAGGCCGCCCAGCTACGGTGAAGCGAAGAGGATGCCGGCGGCTGGGGGACGCGTGTACGAGCAGTATGTGCCTGACGATGCATCTAGAGTCGTGCGAAGAGCATGCGAGCATTCTGAGTGCCCCGTGTGCTACGAGGAGATGTGGAAGGCAGCGTCAGGGGTGTTCGTCAACCCCTCCGGCAAGAGGACCTGTCCGCACTTCTTTCACCTCAGCTGCGCAAGGCAAGTCGGCGAGCAGTCTCGAGGAGGGAAGCACTGTCCTCTCTGTAGGGCTCAGTTCCAGTCGGTTGTCGAGGTCCCGGCAGTTGACCGCGACCCCGACGCCTGGTTTAGCCTCGTTGATCTCAATGGCGACCAATCCTTGTCTAAGGTGAGCTAGCAAGTCTGAAGCTCAGCATGTGCTGTTGGTGAAGAAAGGGCAGGCAGAAATAAGAGCCGTCCTCCTTGCCCAGCTCAGGGTTGACCCCGTTATGCTGGATGAGCAGCTCGGCTCCTACTTCCGTCAGTGGGACTTTGACAGTGAGGCGCCTGGAATGCAGGTTGACATCTGACAGTGGGGCTGTAGGGAATCAGCTGATTACCAAAGACGAATTCTTGAACCCGTCTCAAGGTCTCCTCGCCTTTGTGAGGGAGAATGTTCGAAGGCAGAAGGTGGGAGGGGGTTGAGGGTCGATGGAAAATGGTCAGCGGTTTGCAGGAGGAGGCGATACCGGACATCCGAAGGGATAAGCTCGCATGGTTCGAGTACTTCGACGAGGACAAGACGAGCTCGCTGGAGTTCGAAGAAGTCGTTCGAGGTCTCAGCAAAACATTCGGCATGGGGTCCAACGTAGAGGTGAGATGAGATGCGTTAGGGGAACATACATGGTTAGTCTGAAACCCCCAGCAGAAGATCCAAAACCTTCGTGAGAACCTGAGGGTGATTTGGGGAGTCTTCGACAACGGTAGAGCCCATGGTTGATACTCCATCCTCACATTCCTGTCGTCAGATGGCAACTCAAGCATTGACAAGATCGAGTTCCTCCGACCCTCCGACGGCCTGGCCGATACGGTCGTGGCGACTTTGACGCACTCCTGAATGTCCTCCTGGCTGGCATGCGCTTGAAGGACGAGAATATGAACGAGGAGCAAAGACATCTTTCTGTCAAAAAAGGTTTTGACGTTTGACATGTGACTTTGTAGATATCCATGGCTTGCTCTCGTCCAAATCTGTCAAGATCGCCACACGATAATCTTCTTGAACTAGATAATGGTCCATGTATTCCTCAGAGACTGAGATGTTCTCATGAGTATGATACCGAGATGTGGCAAGGACATGCCTACAAGTTACAGGTGGAAGAATCACACCAACCTTGGTCCGAGTTCTCGCTAATTTCCTAAAAGATCCTGAGGATTTTAGATCTCCACGAGCACTCAGCGAGGCAATTTCACAGAATCTTTATCAAACACTGATGTCTGCATTCTTACCGTTGGAATTCCTCTCTCTTTCAGGACGCAAAAGCATCCACACTGTAGTTTCAACCCCGTCAACCTGCTGCACCTCCTTGGCCTCCGTGCTGACTGGAGCCCTGACAACTTCGACCCGCTACGATTCTTCTATGTTATCGTCACAGGAGGCGAGCCGTGGAATGATTCCCCAGCTCCGGTCTCGCAGCGAGGTCCGTCAGCATAGCCGGAGTGACGAAGTTGCTGGCCTGGCAGAAGCCGGGGGACGGCAGCTTGGAGTTCTTGTACTTGTAAATGTGGGAGCCCGGCAGCTGCAGCATGGCCTCGTCGAAGGCTTTCAGGATCCCCTGGTTCAGAGCCTCGCAGTCGTCCACAAACACCTGCCACTTCCCCTTCATGTGCTTGCTGATGACCCCGAGGTCCGACTGAACTCCATTGTAGGAGTGCTCCCCGTCGATGACGACGAGGTCGCAGAGGAGGCTGTTCTGCTCGAAGAAAGAAGGGACTGTCTTCTTCGAGTCTCCCCACATCACCTGCAACCTGCCCGGGAACTCCTCCGACAGTTTCTTCGCCACCACCTTGGCTGCGCTGTAGACCCCAAGGTCCCAGCCGTAGTACCGCACGCGCGGGTCGCTGAGGAGGAAGAGGGAGGCGCTATGTCCGCCATTGAAACCTGTTTCGCACACATTGATCGTGTCCTCCTTGAAGAGCTTCAAGGTTTGCGAGTACAGGAACATCTGGAAGTTGTTGGTAGCCACGTTGCCCGTGTACTGCGTGTTGGTCTGCTTTCTCCAGTCCTCAATCTTGCTGAAGTAGTCGAACACGGCAGGAGGGATCTTCGCCTTCGACTGGAGGTTCTCCTCCGACGACACAACCCTCGAGACGGTCAGTCCTGTGCGCGCCATGGGCGGATGGGAGGGGGCAGTGCCAGCAAGCTGGGAGGGGACGCCTGAGGGCACTTGGACTAGGGGAGACTTGACGGGCCTCTGTGTCATTCTTGGCATCAAAAGTCGGAATGACACGATGAGGACGAGGATGAGGATAACTTGGAAGATCCATGGAGCCCACCGGCCTCGAGACGCGAGCGCGCGGGAGGTAGGGTGGTTCCTCTTCATGGGGAAGGAGCTCGACGAGGCAAGATGCTTACCCTGTCACCCCTGCCTCTGTGCCTGTCTCCTGCTCCTGCTCCTGCTCCTGCTCCTGCTCCTGCTCCTGCTCCTGCTCCTGCTCCTGCTCCTGCTCCTGCTCCTGCTCCTGCTCCTGCTCCTGCTCCTGCTCCTGCTCCTGCTCCTGCTCCTGCTCCTGCTCCTGCTCTGCCTACCCGTCCTCTCCCTCACCTCGTCATCCTTTTATTGACTGAAAAAGAAGGGCAAACCGGAAAACAAAGGAGGACGAGGATAGAGCCTACAAACCCGCCTCAATAAAATACTAGGAAACGAAGGAGGCAGCGAAAACCGCTACTCCAACGACGCAAGCGACGGCAGGCACGACAAGCAGGGCAGTAGCGCAAGGCTCCTGCGAGGAGGACGGCAAGACCCATGCGAGAGCGATACTGCCGAAACAGGCGAGCACGCCAACGATGAAAGCATTCAATTGTAACCTCATGGGGTAAGGGGGTAGTGCTGCTAGGCAAAAGACGGGCGTTTGAAAGGTTTAAAGACATGGAAACAGGAGGGTGGGGTAGTCAAACAAGGGGTACTACACAGTTCTTGGGACGCTCATCATGATCTACACACTTAATGCCCATCAGCCTGACGATCCGCCAGAAGGTCGGCAAGACAGCTGGGTAAGACAGCTGGGCAAGACAGCTGGGTAAGACAGGTGGGTATGACAGCTGGGAGCCCAGCTGTTGTCGGGACGCCTTTAGATGGGCCATGCGCAGATGCGATCGAATGCTCGTTTCTCCACCGCCTTGGGAGAGTACTTGCGATGAGGACTGACGGGCTGGGAAGAAGGGTCAGGTGGATTGGTGAAGTGCGGGAGAGCAGAGAGGGCATGTGAAATGCTGTGCTCTCCCTCCCTCTCTCCCTCCCTCTCTCCCTCTCTTCTCCTCGACCCTCTCTCCTTTCCCCCTCCCTCACTCGCCCCCTCGCACTCTTTCTTTGCTCTGACCTCATGCTCGTCCACGGGAAGGGACACGACTGGGATCGCGTGATGCTCCTGCGCCCCCTGCAGAGAGGAAGAGGAGGGAGGAGGAGAGTCAACGAGCATCTCAGCTCCTCCGAGGCAGTCGCGTGCTCACATTGGTTTTGCGACCGTCCCAGCTGACGATGTTCCGCACTCTCGCGCTCTGAGGCATGCTGCCATGGCACATCAGCATCCGGCTCCTGCAGGACGGAGGCATACCGAGGAGACATCCTGCTGTTGGCCATGGTGCGGGATGTCATGGAGCCTAGCATGAGAGATTAGTGTACCATCCTCCCTGCCTTTGTTGGAGAGAGGGAGTGAGAGCAGGAGAGGGAGAGGGAGAGGGAGAGGGAGAGGGAGAGGGAGAGGTAGAGGGAGAGGGAGAGGGAGAGGGAGAGGGAGAGGGAGAGGGAGAGGAGAGGAGAGAGAGTAGTGGGAGAGAAGAGAGGGAGAGGTAAGAGGGAACGCGTGAGGGAGACGGAGGAGATAGAGACGGAGAGGAAGGAGACGGGGTAGTTGGAGGGAGAGGGGCGCAAGGAAATCACCGTTGGCGTTGAGAGACTTGCCGTAATTCCCGGATGGCAGCCCTTCTCCTCATCAGCTCACACTCAACGTCGCGATCTCAATCACCTTTTCGCCATGATTCTGACAGGTTTGCGCGCTCCTGCCAGGGAACGTCCTTCCTAGACTTTATCATGCTGCGTGACAAGTCAGAGGAAGAGGGGGAGGGAGAGGAAGAGGAAGAGGAAGGGAGAGGGAGAGGAAGAGGAAGAAGAGGTCAGTCAGCAGCTCACCGGCCGCTACAGCTTCTCGGGTCCTCGTTCTCAATCTGAGGAGTGGGGAAGGTGAGGGATGTCAGGAGAAGGAGGGCGAGACAGCTCATGGGTTCATACTCGACTTAGCAGATCCAAGTCCTCTGCGTCCAGCTGTTGAAGAGCTCGAGTCAGCGTTTCGATGCAACGTGGTCAGAGAGATACCTGTCTGGAGTCGAGGTCGCTCTTTCTTGTAACAGGCATCTCAGGTGGCGCGGGAGCGGCAAGTTTGATGGGTTTTGATACATTCTCCTCGCATGAGATTTCGGGCAGAGACTCGTCCTGATCGAATCGCGTCAAGGGAAGGAGCAAAGAACTGGAGACGTGGAACAACAGCTGCTTACAGGATTTGACGACGCACACTCGTCATCGTCAGTTTCCGACTGCGACGGCTGCTTTCCATCCTGTGGGGCAGGGAGATCAATGGCAAGGGAGAGGGCAAGATGCTGTACTTGTGGGTTCACTTGTTGTACTTCTGACATCCACTTCCTCAACATACTATGTGCTACCTCATCCGTCATCTAAGGAGACACTCGCCATCAGCGGACAGGCAACAAAAAACAGGAAAATATGCGAGAAACCTCACACACAAAAGGAAATCCCTCTCTCCCTCTCTCTCTCGCTTACTCACCGCGTTATCGAGCTTGTTCTTTATCGACGACTCATCAGAGGACGGGGGAGTGGCATGGGATCCGGACGCACTCCTTGTAACCTTGTCGGATGTGTTTGATCTGCACGTGTAAGTCACCCCAACATTGACAGGAGCCCGCGAGTCAATCAACCTTGCAGAGAGGCTGCCAGCGTTGGGGTTGAGGAGAGTGAGTGGAATCCCTCGGAGAACCTCAACCTCGAAAGTTTCTCTTGGCGACGACATGTCAGGAGTCAGGTTGTCCTGCTACACCACGAGCGAGTCAGGGAGAGGAAGGAGGGAGTGAGCAGGGTGCGATTCTCACAGAGGAGAGGGTGTGCCTGCGAAGGTTATCAGAACGTCAAGCACCTCTGAACTCTTCCATCACCTCGCGATTAGGAGGTGGACTGTAGTGTTGAAAGGGCCAGAGATCTTGTTGGTGACCTGACGAGTCTGTCACTTCAGGACAAGGCTGGCATGCTCCTTCACCGAGGAATAGTATTCCAGCGGGTTGACATCTTTCAGATCACCCTGGTGGAGGATTTTCTCGCCGTCCACAGCCTCGATTAGATCCCCTACAGGAAACGTTGATAAGAAGAAGATGCCAGACGATGGTTTCGAAGAGCCCGAGGCTGAGGAGGAAGAAATGCAAAGGTAGAGTTGGAATTTGAGAGACAATGATCACCTGGCTTGATCCCCTTGGTGTCACATGGCCCCCCTTCCTTCACAGCTTCTACAACAAGTTGTCCACCTTTGACCTGTAAGACAGCTTCTCAACAACAACGTCCTTCAAACACAAAGCTGCCAAAAGCACCTTGAACTTCAGCCCAATCCCCCCCAGCTGCTGAGGAGCGGTGTTGGATAGATCTGAACGGGAATCAGGAAACCATGAAAGACGAAAAAGGTCCAAGAGAGCACCCAGCCTTTTGACGACGTTACTCTGCATTATGAGCCATAGTCAGTCAAAAGTACCGTTGCGACACTTCCAGGTTATTACAACCAACCTTATTCTCGAAGGATGGTATGATTATGGACACATCGGATTCCATATCCTTCCCGTTGTGTCCCTTCACCTTTTTCCTGTTGTAGCTGGTTCAGCGGTACTGCTGGGAGTTGTGTTCACACAGGCATACAAGTTCTCATCAAGGAACGTGAAGGTTTGCTCCCATTTTGCTTGCTTGGTAGAAATCACATCCCAAACCTGCAAGGGCGGTGTCAGTCATCACAATATGTTCAGCGAGAAGAACAATTCATAATCACCTTCACTTCGCAACTCCCAATATATTCATCCTTCCTTCCAAGATCCCAGTCCATGAACTTGGGTAGAAGATCAATTTCCATATACGACCACCTTCGCTGCAACTTACGTCTATTCTGACGACACTGACAGGATCCTGAAATGAGTAGTTGAGCATACATCAAACCATGTAAGCAGCTTGCCATACCGCGGCCTTGAAGGTGAAGACCTCTTCGTACTGTGCCTCGTAGGCGTTCTTCTTGGTTTCTGTCGGACGTCAGGTCCAGTAGAAGAGCACGTTGGTGCTATATCCGCACCTGTCCTCTGCTTTGCATCGTCGACGACCACGATGCAGTACGGGTCACATTTTCCCATCCGCTGTAGCCTCATATGAGCATAAGTAAGCACAGGCAGCACATCTGACATCCATCTTCGGAAGGTTTCGCACGTTCTTGACATGGATCTGTTAATGCTTTCATGATCCTGGAAAGATGAAATGCAGTCTGCAACCTTGAACTCCACCGGCCATGAGAGTTCTCCATGAAATTCGGTTATTGCAGATCCATTCACGCTAGGTGGCTGCTGTGCTGCTGCACTTTGTTCGCCATGGTCTGAGAAAATTAACGTCACTGGGTACATACATAAGCTATCAAAGAACGACGGGAGTGAGGTCAGATACCTCTGTCAGATATCCTCTCAGCCAACATTAAGCAGTTACAAATTGGTGCTTCTTGCGAGAGGGGGTAAATGTGTGCAATTGAAGTTGACAAAGCTAAAGGACGGAGAGGGAGGAAAATCGTGCTGTTCACGAAAACAATGTGGTGCACCACTTCAATCCATACGGTCACAAACAGCATCATTCACAAACATTTCCCCCCTCACTCTCCACCTTCTACTTGATTCCCGTTCCTCCTCCTCTCCTCCTCCTCCCCTCCTCTCACTCCCCTCATTGCTTACCGCTTTCGCTCCTCGCTGCCATATCAGTCCTCTTTCTGCCTCTGGTCATCCCACCCCTTCCTACTACCACCCGGTCGCACAAAGTACCACCCACGTACATGAAGTCATTTCCACCCCCTTGAGTCTGATATTTGGACTACCCCTACCTCTTGTACCAGACAGTACCCCCACCACACTAGGTTTTCAATGTCCGACTTTCTTTTTGCACTCACCCCACCCCACCCTCTGACAAAACTACCCCTGGTTATCGAAGTACCCCCTGACATCTTACCCCTACCCCCTATCTGCTATTGGTAATATACCCCACCCTGTAGGGAAATTTTGCCCTATGGGTGCAGCGACGTAGTCTTTTAGTGAAACAGGGTAGTGTATAGACCCTACCCTGGTATTCTACCACCCAATACTCAGAAACTGAGGGGTGCCTATCGATGACCCTACCTTACTACATATCCCCAATACAACCCCATAATTGTACCTTACCCGGGCCGTACCGCAACCGTTGCACGGGTGTAACCGTCTATTGATATCACTCAGTGACTGACTCTCAGTCCGATCCCCGATGCCGGGGCTCCGGGAGGCTGGCGGCCCGCCCGCCGGCCCAGGCCGTTGACGGCGCGCCCCGGCTCTCGGCCCGGGCTCCGAGTCTCTGGCCGGATGATGCCGAGTGCTCTTGAAGATGTGGATCAACAAACGTGACAAGTTCAAACTTCTTGATTCTCAATCTGTGATGGTTACGTCGTGATCACGGACAGTCTGCAACTGGCCGCTGCCGGTGTCCTGCACAAGGGAACGGATCAGTCTTCCAGTGCAGTCTGCTGCTAATGTGATGATGATGGGTGAGGAGGAGGTGGCTGACCTCTCGCAGAACCTCGTTGATAGAGTCGATCGTGTTGGGGTTGACCCGGTTCAGAATCTGATCGAGGATCTCCTGCAGTCATTGAAAGGGCATCAGCAGGTGAAAGCAAATCGATGATGATGGAGCTTCCAGACCTTATTGGTGGTGCAAAATTGCCCTGGGAAGCCACGGTCATTCGAGGCCGAATCAGGTCGATCAGCTCACCGTATGCATTCTTGAAAAACTCCACGTAATTTCGCTTGTAGAACGCCTCCTGTGACGCAAAGGATGCTCAGAGGAAAAGGTTGACGCAAGGGATAATCAGGGGGGACTGTCAGTCGGAGCCGTACGTTGAGCTCGTAGTAATCGTGCACTTCGATCTCGTCGTCGGAGTCCTCTGCACTGCGGGTCAGCCCTAGTGATACATCATAGGGGTACAAGAGCACCGTCAGAGTCCCTGCTCTCCTCGGAATCGTTCTTCGCCAACTCCTGCTTGAAGATCGCATGAGTCACGCAGGAGCTCGATACATCCTCTCCCTCTCTCTCTTTCCTTCTTTCGGAAGGTAGGACTGCTCGAATCCATATCCTGCCAGACATTTCAGGAGAGGGATCGGGCGAGCGGGACAGCAGCACCCATTCATCACTCAGAAAGTAGTCGGAGTAACCAAAGTCCGTCTCAGGGTAGAGGTCGCTATCTCTCGAGCTTTCGTCCTGTATCAAAGTAGTTCATGACACAAGCAGTCATCGGGCCACACTCGTACAGAGCCCGCGGACAAGGAGCTTTGAGACTGCATGTTTCGTCGCCTCTGCTTGACACTCTGAAGAAGTTCAAGTCAGAAAGCTCATCAGTGAGCTCCAGTTCAGACCAAGAGCTCCTTGATGACGTCGACAAGCTTCTCAAGCAACACGTGAAAGTTTTCTCGCAGGTATTCTTACAGCAGAATCAGTTGAGGGCACCAGGATCCTCCTGCAACTTACGAGGCAGCACGTTGAATCCGAGGGAGAGGACGGAGGACATGGCTGAAAGTAGCCAACCCAGTGAGCTTATCCTCGCCAGGGTGGATCGAAAGGGAGCGGATATGGAGCAGGGTCCAGACATACCATATACGAAAATCTTGCGATCATATTGTCGTGGGGTGACTGCCTTGTCGTTGAGCCGGTCGAAGGCGCTGAAGACAGTTTCGAAGAAGATCTGTGGAAAGACATGGTTGAGGGATAGCAGGCCACGTCATCAGCCTGACCTTGAGGTTGCCCTTGGAGTCCAAAGCTTGCAAGGCAATCGACGGGTTGTAGTAGAGCATGTGGAGGGAGAGCCTGACAAAGTGTCAAACGAGCGGTGTGAAGACTTGAGCTCGCCCCCACCTGTGCAAACTCAACTGGAAGCCCTCCGAGGTTGAGCCCCTCTGATAATTCGAACAGATCAGCCCGTTCGCAATGTCGTCTACATATCCATCGACGTATCCTCCTGCTTCATGTTGAGAGGCGGAGGGGAGGGAGTATCGGAATAGGCTTACCAGACTCATCCTTGCAGTTCAAGAACATGAAGCTCAAGAGCGAGGCTGCACGAGGACAGAAAGCTGACATGGTCGTCAGACCAGCACTCTGTCCAGTACAGCAAAGTTGCGCACTTTCAGCTTCTGGAATATTACAGAGATACTTGGCAGCGGCCGTGTAGACCATCTTGTGTCTGTGTCAATTCTTCCAACACAAATGAGAAGATGAAAAAAGTTACATGCACATTCATAGGATCAGAAACAAATCTCTTTGTGCTGTGCATGTAGTTTGAAACAACACTGAAAGCGTAGTCAGAATGATCATTCTTCATCAATGGTGCTCTTGCATACCTGTTAAAGTTGTCGAGCACTGAATAGCCGACTCTATGAAACGTCTCGCAAAGAGGTTTGAAGAGATTCCAAACAGAATCCGTGATTGACGGGGCACAATAAGTCAAGTAGTTCAAAATTTCCTTTCGACCAAGTCAGAATGTGAGGAAAAGCAAATTCGTCATCATCGCTCTACCACTCCATCTGCAATGAATTGTCCCATGCTCTCTTGATTCGAAAACATTCTATTCAACACTTTCAAAATCTCATTGTCGATCTGAAAGCCAAACGACTCAATTCATAGTCGGATTGATCATTTGATAGAGCAATGAAGCACCTCTCCATATAGGTGAGGCAAATCCTTCATGGCATTCAAGAGGCTCAACAACGCTGAGATTGAAACGGACAATAAGACAGTCTTGCTCAAGTGCGCGGCTTCAAAATTGAGATCAGCCAGAATCAGTGAACAGAAACATCACTCTCACATTCAGAACTGTCCAGGATAGTCTGGCACAGATTCTTGCAGATACTGGATGCAAGAGGGAGGACCTATAAAGAAGGTCAATCCCATGAGCATTTCAATGTAATACTTCACTTCTTCAGGAAATCTCTCCACCATGAAAGCTGCAACTGATACAACTTCATCGTGTTGAATTGACTGCTACAAGGTCAGCTTTGGAGATTGTGGAGAGCGAATTTTGACCTGCATGAGAGAAATGATGTTTGGTAGGACTTCAGCAATAAGTGGACGAAACTCTTCCAAGTCCTGTACCGAAACAATTCTTCAGAATCGTACAGGAAACAACAACGAAACTGTAGATTGCATGACAATCTTCTTACATCGGCAGATTCCATGAGATTCTTCAATGACAAAGCTGCTTCATACTGCACAGGAACCTCGGAGTCTTTGAGGCATTTTGCCACCTGCAGTGATGAAGGAGGGGGCACATCAATATGACCAACCTCTACAAATATTCCAGAAATAGAAGATCCAGAAAAAAACGACAACGCAACCGATCAGTATCCTCTGGTACCTTGCGGACTATTGAAGGAAAGCTGCTCATCTTATACCATCTGCTCACTTCATGTTAGAAGTTCTTCGTTTGCACCCTAAAGGCGACCTGTCATACTCTCCGACAATCCAACAAGCACATGCTCGAAGGTGTGGTACGTCTGACTCAAGATCCTTTACAGCATACTTCTTGATGATTGAGATGATCTATCAAAATGGAATCACTTCGCTCCGAGATCGAATAAACTCGATGATGACTGCTGCTACTACTGTCTTCGCTTACCTTGTCATAATATTTCCCCTCGCGCGCGTATGAAACTTTCATCGCCCCAATTGCATAGAAAATTCCTTCCTTCAAGCAATGATTCCTCTCCTAAAGGACCACCATTACACATCCATTGTGACATAACAGAGTAATTTCCTCAGGCTCTGCGTCGGCATACGCTGTCAAAGACATTTTACAGTAGGACAAGAGTGTAGAAAGCGTCCTGCTCAAAGTGAGATAACATCATAGGCACTCAGTTTTTCTGACTTCGAATGCTCGTCAATCAAATCCATGAGAAAGTGCCTTGCTGCAATCCGAGGGTTGTACATTTCCTCCTGCTTCGTTGTCAAAGTCCGCCTCCTATCTTGTTCCTCTTTCTCGACTCCCTCTCGCAGCAATATCTACCTGATCGTCGTACTTCTTCATAATGTATTCCACCGGATCCTCCCGCCAAAGATTCTCATCATGTGCTCCATGCCACATCGCAGGCACCACAACATGGTAGAACAGTGGTTTCAAGTTGGGTTTGAGCACGTTCCAGCATTTTCGAACTTTCTGACATTCCGAGAGGAGTCCAAAACAATCCGAATGAACCTGATGGCAGTGAAAAATCTGTGGCCACCTCTAAAAGCCATTTACCTTCTTGGGAATGAAGTTTCCATTGAAACTCTTTTCCATGAGAACGACAACAGTCTTCATGACTTCTGGGATGCACGACTGTAATACCTGTTGCGATGCATGAGTCGACACCAAATTTAAGAGATCCTGTTCTATCGTTTGAACCTTGAAGAAAGAATCATATGCTTTTCTTGCTTTGGTGTCACATTTCTTGTAGAATGACGTCGCCTTTGTGAAAAACCTCACCTGGTATCAGCAGCAACAATATCAGTATGCATCATCGTTTGAAAATATCGTAGCTCTACCGCCCATTTCTTTGGAAGCCAGAACTGGATCAGAAAATCGTCTTCTCCTGTTGGTGGGAGCTCTCGTTGAATTACAGTAGCCAAAAACCTTCAATCTCCATCAACAACACCAGATGCTTGATCATGGCGAATGCACTAACCCAGTAACAACGTCTGACTGATCTTTCCATATGGAAATGTCCTGATTTGGTTCCGCTTCTTCGCTCCAGTCCCAAGAAGGATTGGCACGATAAAGAATCTGCAGGGCATTCCCAACCTTCAGAACCGGCACTCAGTTTTGTTCTTTTTCACCTTGCAAATCATCTTCAGCACAAGGGCACCATGGGGGCTAGCCACAGGTCCATCGATTGCTGCTTTGCCAACAGTCATCATCTGCCATGGTTCCATAGTTACCATCGATATCTTGTGACCAAATAGAGTCAACCGGAATGAAAAGCTCGTAGATAAGAGGGGAAATCTTGTCTCGAGGAAGACCGAGTTCCACCTGAAAAGAGTCTCAATAGAGCCAAGTGACATGAATCACATTGTTTTGCACCTTATAGATCACATCTAGAGCAGCACACATTTGAGGTATTGAAGCAGCTCCCAGTGTCAAATATTTCTTGAGCTGTTGAGAAATCAATCACTAGGGATCTATTGTGAAAACACGAGAATACCTGACCCACAGCCTGAGGTATCCAATCTGCAGACTCTGTCTCTGCCATGAACTTCAAACAATCCGCTAGTAATCTGATTGAAAGGAATGAGAAAGGTCGTCAATAGCTTTGAAGAAAACCTTTTCAATTGATCAGATTCAAGGTGAATGACAGTTTCAACGATGTGTTGACGAATGATCAATCTGTCGGCATCAGAAACTCTATACTGCAGAGCATCGCTATCGCCTTCCGCCTGTTCTTTACTCCAGGCCTTCTTCATGCAATTCTTGAAATAAACCGCGGCGGACATACGAACCTGACATTTAATGTCAGATAAAACTATGAACTTCATCCGCGTTTATTACCTCCACGCTCACAGCTGATGTGGTAATGATTTTCAAGAGGCATGGAAGAAATCCAGGCTTTTGCCTCAGAATGTCCAAATGCTGGATTTATCGTGCATCAGATTCTATGGAAGCACCGTTTGAAATTGTCACCTTCTCAGCTTCCTGTCGAATATTCTGATCACTTCGTAAGGTTGCGGCCAGTAAATCATGCATGACCTGAGCAAATTCAGCTACCACAAACATCAACGGTGAATCTCTCAAGTTTCCACACTTGCAACATCTGCAGCTCATTCATGTTGTCCCCGCCGTGACTTGCCGCCTGCTGCATTGACATGTCTGATCCTCCACTGCCAAGTAGATGTCAGAGATTGAATGCTTCCTGTTAACATGGCACCGTAGTTGGAGAGCTCCACGAACAATAGCAAAAGTTTTTCTGTTGGGATGCTGTGTCTTGATGAAACCATGCTCCCTAATCATTCGAAGATGATTTTCCCTCCCATTTCCTGAATATATAATCCCTATCAAAAGGTGTATGACAAACAGATTCCTCCAGGAAATCATGGATTCTGATTGTTTCCGGAGTCTTAATGTCGACCAAGGTGCTTCATAAGCTCGATGGTATCAGCGTTTAGTCCGGAATGGTGGACATTTTCAAGCAGAAATATGTTCAAAGGTCTGCGAAACCCTTATCTTGGACTCGTACTTGCAATGTCCTGGGTCAATATCAAATGCTTTCCACCACACCTACCCAGATAGCTTGCAATCAAACAGCTCTCAAGGCAACTGCATGAGATACGGCAACACTCATTCTGAACGAAAAAACACGTGCAGCTCCCATGTCGAAGGATGCAAGCTTCACGGACCAAACAAGACAATGAAAAAACAGACGGAACCAGCACAATCAAGAAAAGGCGGTGTTTGTGAGCGTTGAAGCAAGGGATGGGGCAAGGATGATGGCGGTAGTTGGGACGATGTGGGTTTGATCGGTGCGCACAGGGATCTTTCAACACCGCAAGGGGGGAACTGAAGAAAGAGGAGACGAGGAAGCATCTCACGAGGGAAGGAGGAAGAAGAGTGAGAGAAGATCATGTTGCTGTGGAGGAGGGGGATGGGCAGGAAGGGGGAAAGACATAAATGAGATGCGCTGCTTCCCGCCATGCGCCCTCCCTCCTTCTGGTTGTCCTAGATCTTGAAACCCTCCTAGATCTAGAACGTAGGATTCTAGATCTAGGACCGTCCTAACTAATTCATACTAATCATTTGGGCCGGGCCGGCCGGGGCGGCCGGGCCCGGCGCCGACCGTACCGTCGGAGTCGGCCCGGGCGACGGGTGACCGTACACGGCGGCATGGTCGGACCGTCTCACAGTGACTCCGCGCTGACGGAATACAAGTTTGTTAGACTTGTACTAGGCTAGTCCAAAGTCACGTAGATATCACATCGACCTTAGTTGTAACAAGACAGTTTTTGCTCAAGACCGAATTTAATGCACACAAAACCAGAATTGAGGAGCACATGAGAGATAGACTGTATGCTAGGATGTGAAACCCAAGCATCCAGACATGAGGACCTTAGCAAGACGGCTAGGAAAGCCCCCTCTTCCGAAGTTCGTCCCACACGCTACATCGGCCGCCTTGACAAACACGTAAGTTGTCTTGGTTTACAGAAGAGTTTTTGTTAACTCGGCGCTATCTGACTGGCACGGCTGGCATACGTTCCATCCTCCCCCCGAGTTTCTGAAATAGTACGTTACATCGGACGTCAGAAAGTCACACAAACAAGAGAATGTCAGCAGAGTTCCAAGTCAAGATACGATGATACAACGTCAAGTTCACAGTCATGCTGAGTGGGCAATAACCATTCAAGGATTGTCCGTTCCATGATCTTGACACGTCTCACTCAGTCCTCGGACTGGCACTACCGTACTGTATACTAGGCTATCCCGCGGGCCGCACCGTGCTCCAACACTGTGACTGGCCCTCAGAGGGGGCTTGGCACTGCATGAATCATAACAGGCGCTGGCATGTCTCAGGCTGTGTCCGATCAGGAGGGTGAGTCTGTGGCGGCGGCCCGGGCCGCCCCGGGCGGCGGGCCGCTTCGCACAGCCGCGGTCCGAGCACTAGTTGAAACCGGGCCTCAGCCTCGAATTGCCCGCATGTTTGTGGTTTGACCTCTCTTTGTTGCCCGACCATATACTAAACCTAGTCCTCGTCCTCGTCCTCGTCCTCGTCCTCTTCCTCGTCCTCGTCCTCGTCCTCGTCCTCGTCCTCGTCCTGATCCTCGTCCTCGTCCTGATCCTCGTCCTCGTCCTCGTCCTCGTCCTGATCCTCGTCCTCGTCCTGATCCTCGTCCTCGTCCTCGTCCTCGTCCTCGTCCTCTCTCCTTGTTCCGCTTGTTCTGCTTGTGCTCCTTGTACTCCTTGCCTCCTCCTCACTGCGCAGCCTTCTCCTTTTACCTGTCAATCCTCGTCCCATATGTCCTATCCTCGTCCTCTGGATTTTGCAGTGCTTCTGTTCAAGTCCATCCTTTTTTTTTTTTTTCATGATCTCGATCATACTTCTCGTGTTCCTCATCTTTTTGACGAGCTCAAGCTGTCACCAACAACACACTTCTGCTCTTACTCTGAAGTGTACTCACCTCCTCACTCTGTTTGTTCACCTTCCCATGTGTAATTGGTATGCAGAGCATCTCTTCAGCAAGAGGAACTCTACTTGATCTGATCATGTCATCAACTCCTCTTGGGTGTCACTTTGTTCCACTGCCGAGATTGACAATCATGATCGCTGCATTCTCGTGACAGACGTTCTCAGGTACATCGGCATGTCGTTCAGCGCTTCCAACGATTCTCTAAGGTCGTTGCAGTCGAAGAGGCAGAAGGAGAGGGCGACGATGAGGTGGAGGAGTGAAGCAGGAGCTCCTTCATACCTCTCAGCTTCACTGACTGATGTAAACAACAAGTCCGACAGGAAGTCGATTCAAAGATGCGTCCAGACCAACGACGGCAGCACTCAGACCTGCGAAGCATTGCTCGACAACTACATCTCCGAGAGGTTCAAGGACTTGAACAAGGTGACTTGTATCATCTTGTTGTCGAGACACTGTTCAAAGTCTACTGACTCTGCTTCCAGGCAGGAGATGCTTGTAACACTCAAACTGACCTCACCACCAAGGCAGAAACTAGCGGACCTCCTGTCCCAAGTCAACTCAAGTCGATTCTCAAGTGCAGACCAGGAGCCCTTGAGGAGACTTTGGATGAAGTCGACGCGTTCTTAGCGTCCTTGGAGAAAGACGTCTCCTCTGTATCCGACGACGCGTTCTCTGGGGACGTCAGCCTGATCTTGGACGAAAGCTGCGAAACATGCGGAGCCAGCGGCGACGAAGCCTCGAGCAGCATGTCGAAACCTCCAACAGCGAGCAAGATAGATGGCAGCTGCTCATCGCACGTCAGGTCAAAGTCGAGGTCACCTGCCAGTATCAAGAAGGAAAGCAGCAAGACTCTCCTCAACTCCACAGTCTCCTCTCGGTGTGTATGACGATATGCTCGCATTTCATTGTTAGACTGCACTGAACGATGGAGCAGGGGCAAGACTTTGTCGAGCAATGTCTGCCAGAGATCAAAGGTTTGGACTCTCGGAATGTCGCCATGTGTGAGTGAAGAGTGGTTTCAAACACAGAAGAAGGACAAACAAGAAACGAAGACTGCTGACAGAAGGCAGAAGAGCGTCAAATGGAATCAGGAAATTGTGAAAGTACTCGAGTACTCCGCTGGAACTGATAGGTATGAAGGAAGGATGGAACAGAGAGACGGTGGGAGGGAGGGTTTAGGACAGAAGAAGCAAGAGGAGTAGAGGAGGAGGAAGGGAGGGGTTTGAGGGAGGAAGGAGGAGAGATGGGGGAGGAGGCATTGGGGGGTTCATGGAGAAACGCATAACGGTCGGTTTCAGCCCTTCAAACAAGTCTATGAGGCAGAGCAGGCAGAGCTTTATCCGAAGTCTCCTGCAAGCTCCCATCAAAAGATGCAGCAAGAACGTCATAGAAGAAGCAGACAAGGGAGAGTCTGACCAAGAATCTGCTCGCCCTGTATGCATCTACTCCCACGTGATGGCTACTGACAACTGATCTAGGGCTCAGACGTCAACAACGCGGGGGACAAGCTGAAGATGCCGAGCAAGAACATGCTCAATACGACAATGAAGATCCCCTTGACCTCCATGAAGCTGCCCTTAGACGACATGGCCGAGGCCACTGTGATGGGGTTGAACGAGGAGGCAGCGGCAGAGGACCAGGGCATGTCCAGCGAGGTTTACGAGGGCCTCCAACTGACCCCATCGAGCTGCGAGGGAGAACAAAGTTTCTTGTGCTCCAGCAGCGACGAACGATCGTTGCTCCCGCAAGGGAATAAGAACCTTTCTCAGACCGAGAGGCCGGCCAAGGGCCCGTCGGAGCCGCAGGATCTCACGGGCCTCTGCCTGTGGCTGACTCTCCGAGCCGCCATGCAGCTCTCAGTGCAAAAGCGCTAGGAGCCAAGAGAACAGCACTGCCGTTCGACGTCAGTTACGTTTACTCTTATGTTGAGAATGTATCTTCCAAAGTCACTCCGAACCTCGCTGCTCATCGGGCCAAGTTGCGGCTCGCGTGTGAACGCTTACTGGTCATCCTTGTCCCCAGAATCGTCAAGGGTCCGGAAGAACCAATCCCTGCCCACCCGAGCTGCTTTTCAGCTCCCCTCATCACAATTAGCGCAACCCCCCACATCCGTCAAACTACTTGTTGTCCTGCTTCTCCTACACACGCCCGACAGCAATAGGTCCCCCGTACTTGAAGGTCGGCTGGACTCCTCCCTCCTGGAAATGGAAGCTTCAGACTGATTGTCTGGATCACAAGAATATCACCCGCAGCGCAGCGGTGTGCTTGTAGTTGCCTGCCTGACACATCTTTGCACCTAAAAGGAAGTCAATTGCTGTCGCAGGATCCCTCTTCCCCTCCTTCATCTCGTCGGAACAATAATGTACCCCTCCCAATCCTCCTCCTCCTCCTCCTCCTCCTCATTATCATAGACTCATCATCATATACCGATTCCAACCAAGACCAGGATTGTTAGACAGACTACAGGCAGGATCCATGGAAGCCTGGCAGAACATCAGCTTGAGCGAGGATGTAGATGTTGGTCGATGTTCACATGTTCATGAAGTAGACGGCTTCATCTTCCGGCTGAGCCGTGGGCTTGTGTCCAGACGCCTGACAAACTGGATGTGAGGGGCAAGGGGAGCGAGCAAGGGCGGGCACGGACAGTCAATTCATCTCCACGATTCTTGCTCTTCTTGGTCAGCTTCTCCTCAGATCTTGCCTTCTTGTCCTCATCGTGCGAATTCTTCTTGTGCTGGCTCTTAACCTGTACCCCGCTCACTCCACTCTCTCGACATCGCCATGATAAATCGCACCTTGTCGAACTTCTTCACAAACGCTGATTTGACAGACTGTACCAAGAAGAGTTACATCTCCAGCAGCATCACTTGCCTTCTCTCAACGCACAGGATTCGTGATGTCTTCCCGGAGGGACTGCGTGTGTTGGGTACGGGCGCTCTTCAAACCCTTCTCCACTAGCAGAGGGGAACCTCCGATTTGCTGGGCCACTTGGAATAGGACAAAAATCAACACCAACCTTGAATAGCAAAGTTTCATGTTCTCCAGCACGTTCAAGGTTAAATAGGAGAGTCCTCAAGCTTTGGCGTGAAGTCAACAACCCCTGTCAAGGCCAAAAGTCAATTTCATCTCCCACGATCGCGCGAGGACCCTCAACTCTTTCATATTAGATCTGCAATGCCTTTCTCCTTATGCACCCTCCCTCTCATTCACTTTCTCTTCTGATCACTTGCACGGGACCATACATATGCCACTGATAGAGGACGCTGACGCTATCCGTCATTCTACTTGGAGTGCTTCCGCTCTTTTGGGGAAGTACCCCACCTCGCAATGCTTCCCATACTTTCACAGACCTCAGCAGTGCCTGTACATTCTCCTTCTCCTTGCTGCCTACCAAAGTTTCTCGTCCTCTCCTTTGATCCTCCCATTCCTGCGCCCTTGCCTATCCCTTACGGCCCCTCCAACCCTCGATCCCTGGCTTCGTCCCTGCACGAAGCAGCAAGACACCAAGAGGACAACTAGGTGAAGCGGTCTTGTCTTTTCAGTCTTTACCTCCTTCCCTCCCCTTCCTCTGCCTCCTCTCCTGTCTCCTCCGATCTCCTTCCCCTCACCGCCCTCCTCCCTCCTCCGCTCCCCCCGCATTGTGTGGCGACGTGGCTGATCGAGACGGATGGAACCACAAATGATGGGTGACCTTTGATGGTATGAGCGGGGATGAGGACCGTCTTGTGCGTGGTGTGCTGGATGAGGGTTTTGAGCGGGGATGAGGGCAGACGGGGGCCGCTGGGCGGATTTTCGGCACATGCTGTTGCGAGGGACAGGCAGGCGGCTCCTGAGTCATGGGAGGGGGGAGGGGGCGGGAGCGCCCTTCATGCACGCCTTCAACAAGACATCGCCAGGTGAGGAGGAGAGAGGACATGGCAGGAGAGTAGGAGGGGAGGACGAGGGAGCTTGCTGGAGTGGAAAACTTTCCAGCAATGGGGTGGTGCTGAAATCGAAGACGAGGCTTCAATGCTGGCTGGTGACGTAAAAACAGGCAAACCCCCTAAGGTTCATGTAAGAGGAGAAGGAGTCTATGTGTACGATCAGGTACCTTGTGCTTGATCGGGCCAGGAGAGAGCAGGGGAGATGACGATGTACCTTGTTGCAGGAGGGAAACAAGCTCCTGGATGGGCTAGCAGGGTTGTGGTCGGTATCCCTCGGGTACAGCCAGACGCGGATCGTGGAGGCAGCAGGAAGGCAGATGGCGAAGTTGCCTTACTACCACACATTCTGGAATCAAGGGCACGATGTGGGCTACGAGCTCGCGGCGAGGCTGCAGGAGTTTATCCCTTGCCCTGTAGAGAAGATCGCGTTCACCAGCGGAGGTTCGGATGCCAACGATACCGCAATCAAGCTAGTGTGGTACTACAACAATGCTCTAGGAAGGCAGGGGAAGAAGAAGGTATCCTGTTGCTCTTGCTCTTGCTCTTGCTCTTGCTCCTGCTCGTGCTCCTGTACTTGCTGTACCTTGTACCTGCTGTTGCTACTGCATCCTTGTACAACCCTTTTGCTCGATTCTTGTTTCTCTTCCCACGTCCTTACCAACCTTGTTCGACTTCACTGATGGCTGGTACACAAAGGAAGCATGCACTGACTTTCACTCAGATCATCGCAAGGAACAAGGCATACCACGGAGTCACCGCTCTTGCCGCTTCGCTGTCTGGACTTCCGGTCTGACTTGTTTCATTCCTCCCTCCTCATATCTCTTCCTCCTATTCGCTCTCCTCTCCTCTTCTTCACTCTCCTCCTTGTCGCCCTTCCATCCTCATCAAGGATACAGGGGCTTCACTCCAACTTTGGAGCGTCTGCCGCGCAGAACCTTCCTCTCCCGGGCTTCCTGCATGTCACCTGCCCTCACATGTATCGCTTCGCCAAGGAGGAATGAAATTCTCCCTCCTCCGCGCGATCTGACGTGACTCCGAGACAGGCAGAGAGCGAGGAACAGTTTTCAAGCCGCCTGGCGAAGGAGTTGGAGGAGAAGATTCAGCATGAGGGGCCGGAGACGGTAAGAAGAGGATAGAGGAGAGTCAGGAGGAGGACCTCAGCCTAACTTGCGCCTGTTCAGGTTGCTGCTGTCATTGCAGAGCCGTTGATGGGAGCAGGAGGGGTCATGCCTCCTCCTGTGGGATACTTGAAGAAAGTCAGAGAGATCTGTTCCCGGCACGACGTGCTGATGATCTCGGATGAGGTGAGGACACGAGGGTGGCGAGGGGAGGAGGGGAGGAGGGGAGGAGGGAAGGAGGTTGGATGGAGGAGGGGAGGAGAGGAGGAGAAAGGAATGTTGTTGGGCAACACTTGAAGGGGAAGGGGAAGGGGAAGGGGAAGGGGAAGGGGAAGGGGAAGGGGGAGGGGAAGGTAGGGGGGAGGGGGGAGGGGGAGAAGAATCAGGTCAGCACTGGGCAGAAAGGGTAGAAGATGGCAGGAAGAATGAGACTTGTTGAAGTAACAAACTGCTTCATGTCCTCGAGAACTTCTCACTGCCTGTGCTACCTGCAGGTTGTCTGCGGGTTCGGTCGATTGGGAGAAGATTTCGGTTTTCAGGTCGGTGAATCAGAGCAGAGGAGAGAGTCGTGGGAGGAGGGAAAAGGGAGGAGGGAAAAGGGAGGAGGGAAAAGGGAGGAGGGAGGAGGGAGGAGGGAGGAGGGAGGAGGGAGGAGGGAGGAGGGAGGAGGAGAATTTCATCTGATGCGAAATTGAGTAGAAGTACGGTTTTGTTCCGGACATCATCACCATGGCAAAGGTCGACATTTGACACCATCGAGCATGACATGATTGTTTTGTATCTCATCCTTCGTCTATGTACTCTTTCTCTTTCTCCCTTTGATTCTCTTGATGACTCTGTTGCGAGCTACTTCTTTTTCACACGATTCTCTAGTTTCTCCTCCCTCATAATCATCTTCCTCTTGTTGACCTTCTTCTCCTCCACCCCCTGCCTCTTGTTTCATCAACTCAATCACAATGATCATGATCACCATGATCATCTCCACCATGGACAAGATCTTCATCTTATCTTTCTCTTCATCTTATCTTTCTCTTCATCTCGCAATGTTAACTTCTCTTCATCGCGCAGGCTCTGACATCCAGCTATGCTCCGATGGGAGCCGTTGCTGTCTCCCCGTCAGTCGTGAGCTTCTCATTCAGTGCACAACCCCTTCACTTCTCCATTCGAAATTTCAGTTCCTTTGTCCAGTTGCTTCTCATCCTGCTGACCCTTTTCCTATCCTCTCCCTCGCTCACTCCCCCCCTCTCCCCTTTTCTCGCACTCCCTCGCTCACTCCCCCCCTCTCCTCCAACCCTCTCGCCCTCCCTCCCTCCCTCCTCTCACCCCTGACCTCTCCATTTCGATTATCTGTCCTGTCTTGTCTCCCCTCGCTCTTCTCAAATCTTCTGCAGTCGAAAGTCTTGGCTGATGGGAGCGATTCATCGCTTCTCGGTCACGGATACACTTTTGGAGCTCACCCTGTCAGGTTCAGCTCCCT